TCTCTTGCGTGGATGTATAGGCCACACATATGTTAAGCACGGTTATGGAGTTGTGCTTGGTCGCGGCCATCGCTCGATTCGCGGAAGCTCTTACATCTTCCGGGAGCAAGGTCAAGTCTCCAAGAACACACAACGCGAATCCCTTTCTCGGTGGCCAGCCCTTCGTTGGAGACGAGAAGGTCCAGCTTCTCACGCATGAGCTCCATGAGCGCGCTCACCTCCTCTTGCGATCGCGCGAAGTTGTCGATGCTGAATGCGTACACTGTTACGTACCTCACCCCCAGATCCAAGCACAGCTCCAGCGTCTGGATGAGGCTATCGTAGCCAAATCCATGGCCGCTCTTCCTGTCGATCCCGGCCCTGTCCGCGAAGCGCCTGTTGCCGTCCATGATGATCGCGATGTGCTGCGGCACTGGGCCGCAGAGGAGGATCCGGACGCCGAGCCAGGCAATCGCCCGGCACAGCGCATTCCAGATCGTCCGGAGCATTGCCTCCCAAGAACCCTAAAAATAATCCCATACTTTGGGCAAGGAATGCGCGCGATCGCAATGGCGATCGCGATCGCCTTCGCGAGCGTCGGATCGGCGCTGGAAGATAGCGACTTCCTTTTCGTCCCTCCGGTCTTCGATGTCACATCCTTTGGCGCGCTTGGCGATGGCGAGACGGACGACTCCCAGGTACTTGTTCTTGAGCGAAAAATACCTGTGCGATTCCAATTCCTTGTTTCGACCGTCCAGGCATTTTTGAGCGCCTGGGAAGCTGCTTGCTTCGTCCCGTCCTCCACAGTGCTGTTCCCAGCAACATACTCGTTTGTGATCGGGCCAGTGGAGCTCTCGGGTCCTTGCGCGGATTATATCACTTTGCGGGTATTTTGCCCTCCATAGCTAGAAAGAACAATAGTTTCTTCCAAGAACTCACATTGTTTTCTCCTTCTAGGTGGATGGAACAATCATGGCAAGGGATGATCTTAGTAACTGGAACGTAGACCTTGATGGCTGGCTGGTTTTCAGTGGTCTCCAGCTTTTCAGGCTAACCGGCTATGGTGTGATAGACGGAAGAGGTGACTTTTGGTGGGCTTACTCATGCAAGATCTATCCTTTTGCGGTGAGCTTTATCTTCTTTTCCTCTTTTTCGCTGATGGAAATGTTTAATGCCAGGATTGCCGAACGAAATCACCAACCGTAGGTTACCTCTCGTCCGCCTCTCGAACTTTCAGAACTAAACAAAAAGAACAAGCATGGGATCGCTTTGAAACTTCTATATCCTTGAGTCGGTGCTTTTTTTTCTCTCATTCAACGCTAATGTATCTCTCTCAGCTCGCAGTCCGTATTGCTGAGACGCAGCAGTGCCGTGGAGATCTCCTACTTGACCTTGAAAGACAGCCAGGAATTCCATCTCTCAGTGGAAAGCTGCAACGAGGTCTACATGACAGGACTACAAGTTGTTGCTCCCAGCGACAGTCCCAACACAGATGGTATACATATTGTCCGCTCGGAAAACGTTTATCTCCAGGACACTCTCATCGGCACAGGTAATCGCTCGAAGTTTTCTCGGTGTTGACAAAGTGGTGGGTTTTCCAGGGGACGATTGCATCTCCATACAAACAGGCTCGTATAACATTTATATCGAGAGAGTGACTTGTGGTCCGGGCCACGGTGTGAGGTGGGGTTTTTCCTGATCCCGTGATCTCCACGGAAGTTTTCTCATATTTTTCTTGTGCAGTATAGGTGGCCTTGGAAAATATGACTCCTGGGCTTGCGTTGCTGGTGTTTATGTCAAGGACCTTGTCATAAATGGAGCCCAAAACGGCTTGAGGATTAAGACATGGCAGGCGTGACATATTTCTCTTTCAATCTTTTCTAGGCTGGCTAGACTGATCTTCTTTTTTGCTTCCAGGGCGGTACAGGGGTGGTTCGTGACGTTCATTTCGAGAGTGTGACAATGAATGACGTTGCATTTCCAGTCATTATAAACCAGTTCTACTGCGACAGTGTGCTTCCTTGCGAGAACCAGGTTTCTGTTTCTCGGTTAAAGAAACTCTGAGCGTTTTGATCCGAAATTGACGATGCTCCAGACAGATGCGGTGCAAGTTCACGACGTTTATTTCAAGAACATCCGCGGCACGTCTCGGACAGATTTCTCAGTGTACCTTGCGTGCAGCGACACCGTCCCTTGCCAGAATATTTTCCTGCAGGATGTAAGTCTTACGCTTTCCGGTTCTAATGACTTGTCCACTACGTCGTCCTTCTGCTGGAACGCCATGGGAGAGTGGTATGGGGCTGAGGATCCATACAACTGCCTGGGAAGCTCGGACACTCAAACTTCCCTCCAGTTCTGTGCGACCACAAACTCAAAGAACAATTGACAAGGCCGTAAGTTCTGGCAAATCCGCCCATTGTTTTTATAACCTTGAGTTCTCTTCTAATCAAAACTTTCTAAAGCACAACTTCCAGCCAGCGAGAACAAGAAGAGAAAGGAAAAAGAGAACTCATTGATCTCTTTGGCCAAAGATAAGAATGCATTGAGCGAGATGGTCGCGTGTATGAGCAAATGATCACAGGAGTTTGGAAACTCCAATCGTATCATCAACTATTTTCATATTATTGTGTTTCCTACCATCTTTTTCTTTTCGATTGATCCTTTCGATGCATAACTCAGGTAATATGCTTGCACGGGTGTGGAATCTTTTTAGAATCGAGTCCAGACAATGATAAGGTTCATGCCGGGTTCGAATCTGGCAGCAAGAGCTTCAGGCTTTTTAATCCAGGTACCTTGAGCAAAAACATCAATAAAAAAATATGGCAGTGGATGAGGTTGAGTATGACCAACATGATTTGGTTTTATGGATATTAATTATTGGAAAGAGACCCGCTCTTTTGCACTAAACAATACTTAGATGGTTTTATTCCGGTCAATCTGATATGTTGTGCTTTGGGTTTGATTTTTGTGTTGTCTTTGAGAAATCTATGATTTTTTATGATTTAATTTTGTGGGTGCCTGGGCTTGCTGCCTGTGCAATCAAAACCTTTATGTCAACTTATACTACTTTAGGATTTGGGGAATGCGTGATGATTCCACCCAAAGCTTTTCTATGCTTCAAAGATTCCTTACAGGTTCCCTGGAGAAAAGCTAGAGCGACTTTTACCCACTCCCGTACAAGGTAAAAAAGAGTGGAAGGTAAATCTTGATGTCAAAATGCAGGCTAGAGAATGATGGTGTCGTCTGCGTGGCAGGGGTCACGAGAGTAGAGGGATGGACCAGAGCCACCCGTGACGAGTGACAGGCCGACACGTCGGACGATCCTGCCAGGATGGCAGTGCCAGGCGTCCTACGTGGTAGTTGAGATGTTTACCGCGAAAATTGACGTCCATTTTTGAGCTAAAGAATGGAGAAAAGCCCAGCGAGCATCCAATGCTCGATCCACGATCGATCGTTTTGGAAGATAGAGGGGTTTGTTTGAGGGAAGAATACAAAGCCCATATCTATCCTAATTCTAAATAAACACGCACCCACCCATAGTTTAATCTTATGTCGTTGTCGCGAAATTGTAAGAATGCGAGAAAGGTGTAATTGCGTTTGTTTGGTGTGGTTCAATGCTTCTCCAGGGGCATATTCCAATCCCCGCGTTCTCGTTCGCGAGGAATAATTAGCCGCTAATGGTTTGGTATGGTATGAAGATTTTTGGCGGATAATCCCATGGAGGGGTCCAGCAATATCCTCGCTGGCGCCCTGCTTACTATAATGACACGCACAGTTTTCATAGCCAGGGAGCCACTGGCCCAAGTACAAACCAACAAATGTGGACCACATTATTTTGTACGTAATGGGTGTGGTAAAACGGTTCTTAACCGGGGGAGGGTGGAATATTTTAACCGGGGAGGAGGAAAAATCCCCCACGCACGCTTTCGCGTTTGTGGTTTTACTCTTTCTTTCTATCGGCGGCGGCTCCATAGCGAGTCCGCCTGCCCGGCGCCCGCCATTTCTTGCCCTCTCGATCGCTGCTACTGGAGCTCGATCTGATCCAAGCAGGGAGGAATTGCGCCAAGTTTTCGCGAGCGCTTCCTCTGAGTCCTCGATCGCCGTCATCGATTCGCGATTTCTCGCTGTGGAGCATCGCTTCTTTCTCCTCTTTCTCCTCCTCTCGATCCCGATTTCCTTCTTTTCAGCAGGATCTGATAACGATCGGTCTTGGACTTCCGCGGCAAATATTTCGATCCGCGGGTGAGAATATTTCGCGTCGCCACCGGATCGCCGTAGAAATCGTCGGGCTGTGCTGCGGCGGATCGATGATCTGGTGGAGCGCGGCGAGGCAAATGCGTCCAAGGTTTCGCACCCCCAGCAGCGGACACATCGAGTCTGCCCCATGAGGATCACCGCAAAAGGGGCTGCCAGGAAGAATTCGCAGGAAACCAGCCGAGCTGCCGGCGCCAGGCATGGGATTTCTGGAACATCCAGGCTCTGCCTCCGATTTGCCGAGGCAGTCCTGGTGCTATCCTTGCTCGCCTTCGCGGTTACCACGTCGCCCTTCGCATGGATGCTTGGAGCATCCGATAGGCTCGATGAATCACCGGAGATGGCGATAGACGGTGGGCCTTCCAGGGAGCGATTCGTCTCGACTCGTCCATGGTCGGCTTCCAAGGCAGTAATCGAAGAACGTCCCACGGTGTTTTTGCAAAGATCTAAATCCCCAATTCTCGATCAAGGTACTTGGGCATTTTCTTCTTTTGCGTTCTCTTGCTTATGGATTTCTCCTCCAGGTGGTCCTCTAGGTCTATCTTCCAACATCAAGGTGTATATCTACGATCTTCCCTCCAGCTACAACACCGACTGGCTTGTCGATAGCCGGTGTAGCAGCCATCTTTTCGCTGCCGAGGTTGCCATTCACCAGAATTTGCTGCGCAGTCCCGTGCGAACCTTGGATCCGGACGAGGCGGACTTTTTCTTCATGCCCGTGTACGTCTCGTGCAATTTCACCAGCAGATCCGGGTTCCCGACGCTGTTTCACGCGTCGGACATTCTCCAGGCAGCAGTGGGCTTGGTTTCACGTAACATGCCTTTCTGGGATCGCCATCAAGGCCGAGACCACGTCTTTGTTGCCACCCACGACTTCGGGGCATGCTTCCATGCAATGGTACGTTTCTGGATCACGGCTTGATAAGTTTTGGCTCCTTCGCATGCATGCATGACTCTTTCCAATGTGGTTTTCTCAGGAGGATTTAGCGGTCGCAATGGGCATCCCACAGTTCTTGAGAAACTCCATCATCCTGCAAACTTTCGGGGAAAAGAACAAGCACCCCTGCCAGAATGTGGACCACATCCAGATACCTCCCTACGTGGTTCCAGCCAAGAAGTTGCCCGATCCCAGGGGCCAGCGCCGCAAGATCCTGGCGTTTTTCAGGGGCAAGATGGAGATCCACCCCAAGAACGTTAGCGGCCACATGTACAGCAGGTACTTTTTTCCTCTTGTCTTTCACTGTCCGGACTGAAAACCAACTTTGTCGTGGGTGATTTTAATGCAGGGGCGTGAGAACCACAATCTGGCGACGCTTCTCGCACGACCGGCGCTTCTTCATAAAGCGCAAGAGGTCCGACAACTACAAGGCGGAGATGCTGCGCTCGGTGTTCTGCCTGTGCCCGCTGGGGTGGGCGCCGTGGAGCCCGCGCATCGTGGAGTCGGTGATCCAGGGCTGCATCCCGGTGATCATCGCGGACAACATCCAGCTCCCCTACTCGCACGTCATCGACTGGAGGAAGATCTCGGTCACGGTGGCGGAGAGGGACGTGCACAAGCTGGACAGGATCCTGAGCAAGGTGGCGGCCACCAATGTGTCCATGATCCAGGCCAATCTCTGGAGAGACGAGGTGCGCCAGGCGTTGGTATACAACCAGCCGCTCGTTCGTGGCGACGCGACGTGGCAAGTTCTAGATCTGCTGTCCAAGAGGAAGAACAAGGTGGCGGAGGCGGGGTCCCGGATAAAAGTGGCGTGAGTGGAGAAAGTTTCTAGGAGCGAGGAAGGAATCGGATTCTTTTTTTTTTTTTCTTTTCTTACTTACAAGCAGGGATGGAAGAGAAACAAGGAAAACGAGGCAAGCCGTCTTGTTTACTCGCTGTGTGTGTGTATATTTTGGCCAGTTACATTCATTATACCAGAAATTTTTTTGTCTCAAAAGTGTACATCTTTGATAAAATGATCACATGTTGTGAAGCTCCCTCCAACCATAACGCTTCATCTCCTCGCCCAGTTTTATTTCTATGTGAGACGCTTGGGTGGAGCTTTGAAAATGGCCCCCAGAGTTCTCCTGGGGGTTACCGGCAGCGTTGGGGCGATCAAGGTTGCGGCGCTGGCGCATAGCCTGTGTTGCTGGGCCGAGGTGAAGATCTCCGGCAGCGGGCCGATGCCATGCTCATCGCCACTGTCACCTCATTCCATGGCCAAGGTGAAACAAAGGCACCATCTTCACTGTTTGTTACTAACACAATGCTACCATGATAGAACTGTGCAACAATTTGCTCACGCTCATCGTCCGCGCCTGGGACCCTTCCAAGGTCCTCTTTGTGCACCGGTTCCACTGGGCGAACTACGTGACGCAGCCCAACGTGAGGGTCCTGCAAAGCATCGGGCTGGTCGTGGTGCCCGGAGAGGACGGTCCCATGGCAGAGGTCTCAACCCTGGACGCCATCCTGACATGCCATCTCCTCGATAAAAGGTGACGAAACTAAGACGAGCAGATCACATTAACTTTGTTTCAGAAGTAGATCACATTGACTTTGTTTCTAGACTCGTACAAAATGTGTGTGTCTGTTAGTGATCATATTCGTCGTAAAGTTCCGTTTTGTACAAAACTGCAAAACGAGAGGACCTGTGACATCTTTCCTTGCATGGTCATATGGTCGATCTTTCATTCACCGAGTTTCTTCCGGCCCGCAAGGATCCGAGAGATTTGGAGGCCGCGGCTAAAGGCCTGGTTGAAGAGTAGCCGCGTCTGGAACTCGGACACGAATGGGAACCACGCCAGGATCGCAACGGGCGTGAAGATGAGCAGCCCCATGAAGAACTCATAGCTCCGTGCCAGGGCCCTGACGGAGCCCCAGAAGCCCATCGATTCCACCAGTGGCCGGCACGCCATTCCTATCTGCGGAGAACAAAAGCAAAAGTGGGAGTTAATCAAAGCGTCAGTAAGAAAAAGGCTGCCAGTTTGCAGGTGGAAGTTTGGTAAGGAAAAGAGGAAGAGTCTGGTGTCGATAGCTTTACCTGCAAGAGGGCCCAACCAGTTGGGAGGAACGCGAGTAGCGTGACGAAGAGATCTCCGACCGTCAGGCCAACCACCACGAAGAGTATGATGATTATCGAAACAAATCCCATGAAGAGCATCCCCTTTAAGAGCCGGAACATGAGTTGGAAGTCACCACTGAAGCGTCTTCGTCCCATCGACACGATCTACAAAAAATTACAAAATGGCATAAGTTTCTTGTATCGAAAGAATACTCGCTGGTTACCTTTAAAACGATCAAAATGCCGATTATCACAAGCCACGACAGAGCGTATATCTGCAAGCAGACACGCAACGCTATAAAATAAGCATCAACAGAATGGACTTACCAGAATGTTCTTGTGACCGCTGGTGATGTTGAGGTGGTAGACGAGGCCATACTGATACAGAAAGAAGCGTATCGCCAAGAGAGATTCCATGATTCTACCACGCAAGCCTGTGTGGTTGAGATAGGAATGCTCCTCGTCCCACCAGGACTGCCAGCTCTTCACCGCGGCAATTCCTATTCCTCCCGAGTTAGCAATCCACCTGTTCCAGTCGTCCCAGTCTTCCACGATCTTTTGCCACTCGAAACCCGACGGATTGAACAGAAAGGGAGCGAATAGCCAGGTGACCACCAGGAACCACATAGAAGCCGTGATGAACATATAAGCGACCGCACCATTCCCGGACGAACCATAAGCCACGTAGACAATCAGCAGGATCATGAGTTCCAACGCTTTGGTGAAGTGGCTTCTCGAATATAACCGATAATTCTCAGCAAATCTTTCATGACGAACGACGAAGCCTCGGCCGGTAGCTCTGTACTTTGCCCCTCCGTGCAGTATCGTTCTACCGAAATAGTGAACCTTGGTGCCGAGAGAAAAGGTAAAGAAAACGGAAGCCAGTTGAAGCTGCATTATGATGAAGTCGCTGATTGCTGTACGAAAGCCCCTCTCAAGACCGATCTCCATGATCATTGGAAGTGCCATCAATAATCCAAGCTGAACCAACGATTGGGAGGCCAAGGCAGCTTGCAGGCTCACGTCTTTCTTCATGTTTGCAACTTTTAACAGCGACTTCTCCATGCCACTTAATGATAGATACAGCCGTCCGTAGAGAAAAACATAGACTGTGAGCACCACGATCTGCACAAAGTATCTTTAGAATGATGGAAGCAGAACAAACCAGTTTCATACCAGGGCGTTGACGTAGAAACCAACTGTTGTAAAATAGCAGGACATCATGCGGAAAAAATCAAAACGATGGCCGAGTCGATAGATATCTCTACTCAAAGTCTGTTCACCATTCCCGTTTGCTACTTTTGCCTCAAAAAGTGTTATTTGGTTCAGTCCAACATCACGGCCCTTCCCGACCTGTATGTATTCGTGATGTGTTACATTTCCTCGTCGCAAAGTTGAATTGAACCCTGCAGTACTCACTTATCTAGTGATGTAACCTTAGAACATTAAGTTTACCAGCAAAAATATCTTCGCTCAGATTGATAACTTTTGAAGCTTTGCTGATGCCACCTCTTGTTATGTGAAAGAGTCTGTCGAATACATCTGGATGTCCGTAATGGAACCGCACCCTGAAAGACAAAAAAAAACATATTAATACAGAAGATTCTGCTGTTAATGGACTTACTTTAATGGATTTGCAAGCACCCGCTGCCCGATCGTGACAAAACTTGTTTCTTGGTTCGACATAAACCACGCCAGGGAAGAAACACTGATAGCAATGACTCAGAACCAGACAATTTTGAATCAGATCAGTTACCTTCCCGTAAAAATATGTTCCCTCACACCAAGAATACTAGGAGGCCTCACCCCGTGATCTTCATGAAATTCTTCCAAAAGATTTCGCATCTTGAATGCTTCCTCCAAGTAGTTATCCTAAACCAAAAAGATTAAACATCTGGTTTTAATAATTTGACCTTACCTGGTTCATATCAATCGTCTGAAGAGCCTCGCCTCGCGTAAAAATAATTGCATGATTTTGATTTTCCGGTTTTCCCTCCCCTAGTTTAGCTGGACCTGGTAACTTTATCCTGTATATTTCCTGAGAGCCACAATACATGAGCAGATGACAAACAAGAGGAGTCCAAGTCCGCGTACCTGATCAAGCCCGTCGACAGCCTTTACCAAGACAGAGTAGTATACTTTCTTGCTTTTATTGTCTTTCTGCGTCTCCTCAACTTCATCAATATATGCAACGCGAAGTGATGGATGCCTACATTTCGAGCAAGCAAGGTTATCTTACATGTGAGATCATAAATTAAAAACTTCTTACTTCAGCATAAGGTTCAATATATCTGTTGCTCGCTGATCACCTGAGCGCTTTTGAAGTCCATAAATCTGACAAGTAGCAACGTATGTGAACTTCATGTCGGCGACAGCTTGCAACTGCGCCCATACAGATCTTTGACTCTTTTTCGTTTCCTTTGAAGAGCAACCAATCACTTTGTAGCCTTCCAATATCTCTGCAAGCAATCAAGAAATATTAACTACAATTTGGAAGAGGAAGTTCTTACCGTCGTCAGATGCCATGTCAAGAAACGCTTGTAGTTCGAGTGCTCTTCGGTAGTACATCATTCCCCTTACTGCAAATATTTGTCGTGCATTAAAAGCCATAATAAAAAACAAGCAGCATACCAGTTCTTAGAAGAGTTTGCCCCCTAAATGATGCCCAATGACGAAGCTGCATTTCGAACTCCTCGTTCCCCCACGCATCAGCATCCGACTTACATGCGATTCTCTCCAAAAAGTTATCCCATTCGTCTGCAAATTATTTTCCTTGATCAGTATACCAGCCAAAAGTGAATACAACTCGCTTGCCTGGATATATCTTTTGAAGGTAGAAAAGTATAGAAACACCGTCTTCGTTCTCTAGATGAAGCTGCTCCTTGGTAAAAACAATGTCTTCACTGTAGTACGGAGTGAGCACGCTGTAAACCAGAAACAAGTATAAACCACGAGAAACTTCATTTGGACAAACTAGCAAACCTGAACGGTAGCATTTTCCTGACTCGAGGAGCACGTGGCATATCCATGAATAACGAATTTGTGAAGAACGCAATACGTCGGCGGGCTTCTAGGTTCACGGGGACATCCATAGCAGACTCTTTTACAGTCAAAAGCAAATGAAGTCTATTGACCTGTAGATACAACTTATACGGTTAGACAGCACAAGAGTAAGGAAAAACAAAATTACTTGCTCAAACCACGCGTCTGTAGCGGGGGGTGGATAAAGAACAGAGTCGAATAGCTGATTTGTGGAATTTGAGTGCTTGGTATTTTTAAGTTCCACTTCTTCGACCATCATGTCTTTTGTGACAACTTCATACATATCTTGCAGGAGTAAGATGACCGTATCCCGGGCGTTTGGATCCGGACGAGCCTGACACAGAAAGTGATTTTGAACAAAAAACCGTGAAGAAAAAACAGCATGTTACCAGAAGCTCCACCAGCCTCACAAATTTTGAAGCAAGTGAAGGCAGAGCGCTTAATTTGAAATGATGCAGAAATGTATTGGCTTGGATGTCCCGCTCGACAGTGCGTATTATATCTTCAATAATTCTGAAATGATGTATTAGCAACCGAAAATAGAATTAACTGGAGATAGTACCGCTTGTCCGGTTCATTTCTAATAATTGTTTTAATGACGGCTTTGAAGGCTTCATAACATTCCTCAACAGCGCAATGCCTGTAGTCATCGGCCTTGATTTTGCGCCAGAGATCTATATTGTCTTTTCCGCGATATTCTGCAGCCATTTGCAATGCAACAGGAATCTGGAAACGAGTATTAGTCCTAGCCAAATTGTGCAGTTGATTATACCTTACTAGCCAATAAGAATGGTGGCCATTGCACAATCGAAAGATTAGGATCCGATGAATATGGAACAAGCATCAAGTTCATTTCCCTGTAAACAGTCTCAAGTTAGAGAACTTTCAGGAACACAGCGCACTTGCCTGTTGTTGATAAGGTCCTCTTCACGAAAACTAGTGATGACTTCATTCCAAAGCTGAGAAAATCTTGCAGCTTGTTTCCTGTCCTTCCCTGTATTCTGCAACGTAAATGTTGTAATGCCAAGTCATACAACAAAATGATTTGGAACCTGTTCAAATTTTCGAGAGAAAGAAAATCCCTTTCGAGGCGCTTTATCAACGGGAATTAGATTCTCGTTGAAAGTTCCAGGTAACGAACGGAACCTCGATCTCAACATGCCCAGCGTTCGAATCTGAAAAATCAAGGAGCCTTCATCGCCGTACAAAATTAAAAGCTGTAATGTTCACACCTCCCCAAGTCGCCTGAAAGCGCCCAAAATCCCACCAAACAACGTCGAGTATATAGCATACCAAATTTGTGTGTCCATGAAGTATATCTGTTGCGAGCATTAAGTTACTCTGATAACAAAAGTCGCCGGCTTACCAGAATAACAGGAGACCACAATGAAAGAACAGCGGCAATATTTTTTTTCGCTGCGGTGTACATTGTTAGAGCCAAAATGGAGCACAAAGCTGCGTACCGTTCGGAAACAGTTCATGCCAAGTGTATACTATTTGTCTCACTCCCATGATCCGCTTCGTGGGCTCCACCAGAGGCTTGATCTGCATGGACATCTTCCCAGTAAACAAGATGTAGTCTATCTAAATTACCTGAACGTAGTAACTAAACAGAAGTTTGCTAATAACGAGCAGTATCCAAAACATTGTATACCTGGCAACAAAAGAGCTTAAGTTTTATGTCGGCGATGATTCGTACTTACTTGAACAATGTAAACTGGTCTTCATGCATTCCTCGACCAACATACAGTGGGACCTAGATCAGGTGTCAATCAGCTACAAAAACGAGAAAGCAGCAGCTTACCTGTGACCACCACAGCATTAAGCGAACTATCCGCCAGTTAGAATTTTCTATCCATCTTCGCAACAATGGAAAGACAAAAAAGGCTGCTCCCAGAAAATTTGGCAGAAGATACAAAACCAAAGCAGCAGTATATAGCGATGGATTCCTCCAGTTTTGTCCAAGCCAGTTCTTTACAGATTTCATCAATCCGTTTGGCTCCCACGAATGAGCATATAATGTGGAAAGAGTAATCACCCAGGCTAAAGATATAGCGAACTTAAGGACGAGCCTCAGCATTCCCGTAAATCGCATGTTTCGAGAGGCCTTAAAGGTAAAAGCAATATCGAGAACGCCTGCACAGATGAATTATTTTACGTTTCATGCGTTAGGCCAAGTCTTACTCTGCAGAAGACGAAGAATTGAGGCCGTTATGAAAATACTCGAAAGCTTTTTAAGCATCTTGTCTTCAAATATGTCAGATGGCGAATTTGTTTTGCTCCAAGCCAAAATGATCATTGCCTGTAGAGACTCGCCTTCTAGCTGCCAAAGCTGAAAGTAAAGCACAATACCTGAAGGCATAAGATATAAAACGTCCACATTCTGTCAAAGCTCCTGAATATATGCCAAAAGGAACGTATTTCTACGAATCCGATTTTGTTTAGCTTCCTCGTAACCGGCTTCTTGGAGATTGTCTGCATAAATCTCTATGAAGCATCGCAGAATAAGTATCACAACACACCTGAAATGGTGTTGTTGTCAAAGGCGGAACGAAAAAGTCCGAATCGGCGCGCATGGGCCATCCCAAGCGAAAACAGTGGTCGGACCTGCCTTACAAGACTGTCAACCTTTGGAAAAAAAAAGAAAAATCATCTGACCAGAAATATTCGTTCAGGTCGTCATAGTTTCGCCAGGATGAATGGGTCGCTGTACCACATTCATTGCTCGCAGCTTCCTAGAGATAAATACAGAGGTAATTTCAATTACATATAAAAGTACTAGCAGACCTTTTGAATGATCTCATATATCGGCGTCACAACCTTGCGAAGAAAGGATTCTTCCTCACCACCATATGCAGGTTTAATGTTCTCACCAGTCACGAAACTCACGTTACCAGCCAGCATCCCGTGAAGCTCTAGAGCCATCTACAGACCATCATTTATCATCATCGCATCCAAATTGCTTCAGTTCACTTACATTATGAAATATGTAGCAGAGGCATTCAGGCATGAAACGAAGATTAGCTGCTTCTCCCCAGATTAGAAGATACAACCCCATGTATAGGAGTTTGCGTTGCTGGATGTCTTGTTGAATATCCGGAAGACTGCACATTATTATAGTTGTCAAGAAAAAAAAAGGAGAAAGTAAACCCACGTAAGACTACTTTTGCGTCCCAGAAACTTGCACCAGCTCTTGTAGTTTTTAAAAAGTTTGCGCATGACCTCATTGATGGCCTGGTCTTCTAGCTGCAAAATCGCTGTTAAATGTGCAATTCAAAAGGTGCTTAAGATATCGGACCTTATTGATAGTTTCAGTCTTTGATTGTATGCGCGTATGAACGTTAGCAAGGAGTAAAATCAGGTGCTCCCTCTGGTTGGAGACGTTATCTTTCTGTGGAAGATGAGCGTCAACACCTACATTATGATCTGCAAGGAGATGATAGAACCTGAAAGCCGAACTTCTCCTTCAACCAATCAATAACATCTTTATTTGACTGTTTGGTTGCAGCTGACCATGGTAGCCCGCGAATATTTCTCAACGCATCGACTGCGGCTTTGATCTGAAAACAAAATGAATAAACAAAACTTCCAAGACAGTGCCAAACAAAAGCGAAAGTGCACCTCTGGAAGCTGCATTATTGCTTGTGACGAGCCTGCAACGTCAAGCGGGAGAATATTATACGGAACGTATATTTCCTTCTTCTCCTTGATGTCTCGACCCATTGCAATAATCTATATGTTTCCTGTTAGCGTAACTTGCACGAGAGTGCTGTCTTAAGCAATACCTCAGGGGCAACTTCTTCAGTCTTGTTGACAGCACAAAGAACCTCGAAGAGGACTCCTGCGGTCTGATAAGCCTTTGCAAGTTGGGCTCTGACATAACACAAACAGTGCGTCATGTTGTTAGAAGGAAACGACAAGAGAAAAATTCGAAGAATACCTGTCTGCGTGTTCAGCGCCATCCAGAGCCTTGACATACTGCTCATAGTACTGCTGGTAAAAGCTCTGAATCTCTCGTGCATCACTGCGCTTCACTCTGCTTCTGATCGACCTCTCGTTATCCTGTCAAACAAAAGTTACAGAGTTGTCTTTGGCATTTTTATGATTTTTTCAGACCTTCTCAAGGCGTTGCAAAAGAGCTGTCTTGAACTGCCGAACGCCTCGCCCACTAGACGTAGGATCAAGACGATGCGCCTTCTCAAACGCATAGAATCGACCTGGAAGATTAAAAAAAAACACCCATAAGAAACGAAAAAAAAAACTCGAGATCATGGACATACACAGATAAGCAACGCGCGGCCGCTCTGGCTCTATCTCGTTGGCGACCCGGAGAATGGTAGCAATGGGGGCAAGCGACGAAGGAACCACCTCACTGTCGAGAACCTCGCCGGAGAACATCCCATTCGTATACGTCCTGCTAAGCCTCCTCCCGGACGAGCCCGGCGACGCCAGGGGCGCGCCATTCGCCATAATCCCCCTCTATCCCCAACCCCAGACCCACCGATTCAGGCCGGATCGCAATCCCTACCTACATTTCCTGCCGAAATCTCCACGCTCCCGCCCGGATCGCGAAATGCCGTGTGGGCAGCAGCTGGACGCAAGCTAAATCCCTCGCATTCTCGCCACTGTAGCTACACTGCGAGGGATTACCTAAGGAACAGATCGATCGCGATGGCGCACGGCGGAAGCTCGGCAGCTACCCAGCGGCAGTGGCAGGCCCGGGCGTGGCGGGACGGCGCCTCTTATTCGATCGATCGAATGGAGAGGGGAAGAGAGAGAGAACTCCTGTTTCAAAGACGCCGATCTTACCGTTTGTCTGTGCTAGTACGTGTGGCGTCAAATGGTCGCTTACATTAAATACCCTAGTAAAATAATGCATGGAGCCCATAGTTTTAGCTTGATGTTAACCAGCGAAAGACACCGCACTAGAGCTAGAAGAGAGCTTCTTTCCTTCGTCGCGAATGGATCAAACAGCGTACGCTCCAAACAAGACAATGGAATGTTGGAATGTTCTTCACGCGTCCTAAGTTGTCACACGATCGTTTTTTAATCGAAGAAAAGAAGAACAAAGAAGAGCCTTGATAAGTTTCTTATGCTTCCAGCTTGATGACCATGGGACTGCGTACTCGGTAGCCTCGATCATCGCTCCACGTCAAGGAGCCATAGACATAAGCTTGCTTTGTGGAAAATCCTTCCACCAATGAGAACTCCATCTTATACGATGCTTCGTCGCCTTGCTGGGTGAAGTTTAGGACCGAGGGCCTCACCGAGACGGTCAGCGAGGCCACTGTAGGAAGACGGACACTGGCGTGAAACGTAGAAGTTCCTTCCATCACGGACTTTAGCCTGCGGGTGATCTTTGCAGCCGTGCCAGGCTTGAGAGACACCGAGATGGACGGATAGTTGAGCTGAAACGACTCGGTTTCGGTGTCTCTGCAATCCGCGTCCAAGGCCGGCGCTTTCTGGAGCTTGAGTTTTTGGCAGTAGAATAGAAAGTAGTCTCCAGGAGTGGCATCGTAAACAAGTCCCGGGTCTGCTGCTGCTTGAGGATCGATCTCCCCGCCACCGATGTCAAAAGGCGTCGCATCGTTCTCGGAGGTCTGATCCTTTATCGAAACGCCTACGTTGTTGGTAGTCTTGCCTGTTTAGAGAGCGTCAGTGATTTGAACATAGAAAACAGATTCTTTGTGTTCTACCTGTAGTGATGATAGCTGATTGAATTGCTGCTGGGCTCCAGTCCGGATGCAAGCTTTTGAGAAGCGCTACAATTCCCGTGACGTGTGGACAGGACATGGAAGTTCCGGAAATGACCACATAACTGTCTGTTTTGTGAAATTCGCTGTACGCGGCTAGTATGCTTACTCCTGGAGCAGCAATATCAGGCTACATCACCAAGAAAGAAGTTTTAGCTGAAAGTTCCAGAGTAAACTGCTTCCAAGTACCTTGACAATCTCTGGAGAAACCAAGTTTGGACCTCGACCAGAGAATGCAGCAACTTCCGGAGCGGGTCTACCACTAGTTGATGTCACAGAACGAGTTATATATGCCGTTGGATTCCTGTAAAAAACAACAGGATAATAATATGATCATATGACAAACTTAAAACCACAAAAAATTGCATAGAGAGAAATTACCCAGTCGATTGCATGTAAGCAACAATAGCCTGTCCAGCTTTGTATCCAACGTTTGCTGCAGGCAGGCCATAATTCACGGCCTCTAAAGTCTCGCCTTGCATTTCGCTGTTGTAAATGATCAAACCCGCAGCCTTTGCAAGTGCACCAGCCACTCCTTTCACAACTAAAGAAACACCACTGTCTGAACACAAGACGATCTTACCCTGCGATTTTTGAGGGTCGAGTGCTCCAGGAATACACATCATGCTCAAGTCACTGTTTCAATCACAGCAAAGTTACAGTAACTTCTGCAAAGTGTAACAAGCGGATAGTTACCTTGAGATGTTCGCAAAGGAAACATCGGAAGCCGCGACGAGGGGATAGAATCCAGATTGCAGGGCAGCTTCTGATAAACTTTCACCCTGGAAGTAAGCAATTAAGCTCCTGTAAAAAATAACGTTTTCCTTACCATGAAGCTCGAGAGGTCGCCGAGGATGACGTTGCTGGCGAAGGCCCGATCAGTTGTGGTAGCAGCAACGGTAATCATCCAGGGTGCTACATTGCTTACGGTGGCATACTTAGGACCATAGTTTCCCGCCGCTGCAACGATGGAAATCCCATGCATGGCCGCATAGAGCGTTCCAAAGGCCAGTGGATCCTTTGTCTCAGGGATAGCTCCTTCACCGCTCAGTGAGATGCTGAAAACTTGCACACCGTCCCCGATACCGTCGTCAAGCGCTGCCAGAATGTCAGCATTCGAGCACAAATTGTTCCAGCACGTCTTGTAAATCGAGAGCCGAGCTCCATACGCGCCACCTCGAGCAGTTCCGCGAGTAAAACCGCGGTAGTTTGCATCCCTGACAAAACTTCCGGCTGCGGTGGATGCCGTGTGCGTGCCGTGGCCTTCGGTGTCTCTTGGCGATAGCAGGATTGACTCGTCTTGTTGCGTCGCATTTGCGGCTTGAAAGTAATATCGGGCACCGATTATTTTCCTGTGTGATATAACATGCTGTTGGCATTCACAAATGGCGTGTTGAAAAAGCTCACCGGTTGCAGTCGCTTGTGGAACTAAAATCCGTGGTGTTTACGCAAGAACCATTCCAGTTTTCTGGGACCGGACTGTAAGAGCTATCATCGAAGCTTGCCGATTCTGGCCAAATGCCTGAAGCATTCACAAGAAAAGTCGTCTTAAGGACAGCAATCACACGGTATTCGTACCTGTGTCAAGCATACCAATCACAACATCTTGGCCGCCGTTATTTCTAGTTTGCTGGATCTTTCCATTTGCAACGGTTCCATTCATATTTTGGAGACCGAGAAACTGCCACGAATTCGTCGTCTGGAGTCTATACACTTTGTCCTCCAGGACCATCTTAACGCCAGGCAGCTCTGCAAAACAACTCAAACTACGTTATTACTTGCAATAATAAAGTCTTCGAGACATACTTGAAATGTTCTTAACCTTGTCAGGTGGGATAACTGCTGAGAATCCATTGAAGAGGTGCTTGTAGCTATATAGCATTGCCTCCTTGGCAAGCTCGTGTCTGGTTCTGAAAGTAAGTTCATTTTGTAAAGAAAGAAGTGTAACTTGTACCCAAGAACTGTAGATAGTTTTTGGTGGTGAAGATAAGCGACATTGTATCCCTCTTCTAAAGGCCCTCCCAGATAAACAATATATGACTGTGGAAAACAAGTATATAAAGCACACACGAACCAAAAAACAAATTCAGCAAAGAGTTACACCTTTGATGTTGCATCGATGAATGCTGCGAAGTGCAAAACAAAGAAAAATGCTACTGTTCGAAAGCTGGCCATGGACAAAGAAGCAACGGGTCACGCGGAAGAATTTCAAGCCAACCTGAGAAACAAAAGGCTTACAGGAATCTCGCTCGACATTTTTTCCACGATTTACTCGGCACCACTAGTCAGTTTAGACCAAGGTACGAGCGCCTTCGTTTTAAAGTGGATAAGAAACACCAACAATAGAACTCGGGATAAGAAACAGCAAATGATATTCAGATAGAACTAAAGGCCATACAGTTCCAAGACTAACTTCAGATGCGTACCTACATGGTGCGATGCTGATACAAAAAGAAAGATGAGAATTACTCGTTGAGTCACTTAACATTCACCACCGCCTGCAAAGCAAACACGTCAGGTCACAAGAGGAAAGAAAGAGAAAAGGAAACAGATGAACTTACGCATTCCATGGGTTTTCTCCTGGAAGTGGCTTCACGTTTGGGTTCGGGTATGTCTTGCCACTGCCTTTGCCACCCCTTACGTACGTTGGATCGTCTCCCTTGTAATTCGGATTCGGCCATGTCTTCCCTCCTTTCTTCGTGGATCCTGCGAACTCGGGGCCGACAGGAGGACCCTTGTAGTCTGGATTCGGCCAAACTTTTCCTCCACCTTTGCCTCCTCCCGTCACGTAAATCGGGGGAGGACCCTTGTAGTTTGGATTCGGCCATGTCTTCCCGCTGCCTTTGCCACCACCACCCCAGACATAAGTCGGATCATCACCCTTGTAGTTTGGATTCGGCCAAGTCTTTCCAGTGCCACCTTTGCCGGAGCCACTAACGAACGGAGGATCGCCAGGCTGCGGCTTGTAGTTCGGGTTCGGCCATGTCTTGCCACTTCCTTTGCTGAAGGACACGAAGTTGTCACGACCATCACTCATCTCCGGCTTGTAGTTTGGATTTGGCCACGTCTTCCCGCTGCCGTATTTGCTAAACGAAGAGCCGCCAGACGAGTAGACGTAGTTGTCACCAGGCTGCGGCTTGTAGTTTGGGTTCGGCCATGTCTTCCCGACACCTTTCCCGAAAGATGAGCTTCGAAAAGACCCGGACGAAAAGCTCTCGTCCGAGGGCTTGTACTCGGGATCCAGCAACGGACTGGGCCAGCCGTCTTCGTCGCGGTAAAGCTTCTGAGGAGCGAGGCCCCCGATCGCTGGAGACTCGGTCGGAGTGGAAGTGGTGGTGGCATCGCCAGTGACGGTGGTAGCACCACCTAGCTTTGGAGCATCGGATGCCGGCGTAGTATCCCAGAGTGAACTTGGAGCAGTACTTCCCGTTGGAATCGGACTTTGAGCAGTCGTAGAAGCAGGACTCGTTGCTACGGAAGAGTTGAAGCTCGGGGAAGCACTGCCTCCAAACTGGTTGTTCCATCCCGTTCCAGTGGTAGTGTTAGCGGCGGGAGGAGCCGGAGGAGCGGGAGCAGCAGGAGTAGTGCTGTTTGTGACATCGATCACTGCATTGGCAGCGCTGCTCCACGAAGACGAAGAACCACCACCCGACGAGTTTTTATTCCAATCGTGGTTGTTCCAACCAGTGTTCTGACCTTGATTCCCAGCGTTCCAAGTTTGCTGCGAGCCAGCACCGCTGTTCCAACTAGAACCCTGCTGCTGGCCCGGTGGATTGCTCCAGGAACTCTGATTTCCAGGAGCCGGGTTGTTCCACGCAGAATTTTGATTGTTCCAAGAGCCTTGCGGATTGCTGTTCCAGCCGCTACTCTGCTGCTGCCCATTGCCTCCGGCGGCATTTTGGTTGTTCCACTGAGAATCCGCCTGGGCAGCGCCTCCCCCGCCCTCATTCCACGGTAGCGAGCTTCCAGTCGATCCGGTGTTCCATCCATCGCCCTCTGGTGGCTTGTAGTTGGGATTCGGCCATGTCCTGCCTATCCTAGCCCTACACACGGCCGAATCCCGGCCCTGCCCGAGCTGAGTGGAAGAACAGCGCAAACCTGGCGACGAGAAATTGGTCGCGCATTGCTGCTGCTGCTGCTTGGATAGCGCATCCTTGTCCAGCGCCGCCGCTGCGCGAATCCCCGGCACTGGCGCCTGCAAGCTCACTACCTGCGCCATCAGCATTTGCCCTTGCCGGTCTTTCACATTATCATCGTCGCTCTAGGGTTCTTTAGATATTTTAGCCACACACATATATTCAAAGGCATATTCGGGAAGAACAGTTAACAGATATTTTAACTATTAGGGCTATCACTTTAGGGTTTTGCACGGAGAACAAATGAGCAGTGTTGTTGATTTTGAAATCAGGTTCTTGGAAGGTGAGTCAATGCCATTAGGGCTCTATTAGACCAACCATCTGATGTTCATTGGGACAACGTAAAGGCGAGAAAACATAGCCGGCATGAAGCTCAAGGGCAAGGAAGCTGGGAAGAGGCGTGGAAGCGTGTTCTCAAGCCAAGCCTTCCCATGATACCCATTGCTAGAGCAAGGTTGGAGAAGGTGAAACCTGTGACAGTGGGTCAGGATGCAAGAATTGGCGGTTCAAGTAGTTCCTCCATACTAGCATTGAGCTATTTGCTTCAAAAGTATTATATGCTTAGTAGATGTTTTATATGTGGCCATGAAGACTATGAACTGTTGTAATAAACCATCTGGGGCTGCTTGAGGATAGATGTCCCCGTCACCATCGTTCTCAGAGGTCTGAAACTTTTAATGAAACGCCTACATTGTTGGCAGTTTAGAGAGTGTCACTGATTTCAGTTTAGAAAACAGTTTGTTTTTGTTATACCTGTAGTTGAAGTCGGGATGCAAGCTCTTGAGGAGTGCACTGTCTGAACTCCGGGTCCTGGAGCAACCAAGAAAGCTGATCTTTCAGCACAAATATCTCTAAAGGCATATTCGAGAATAAAACCATAAACACCGTTGACCCTTTGTATTTATATTAACGCATTGACTATTCAGTACTTTCTTCCACTGCCAGTAGAAAGCAAAACTTTGCCTTTGCGGGCTGCTCCACGCGAGGGAGCCTCCGGAGTTTTCTTCTCCACTTTTCTCTGTATGGCGTCCGCGAAAGAAAGGGAAGCTCCTCCTGCAAGAGTGTTCGCGCTGGAAGATTAGGAAACAGAGCAGGAATTGGAACACACTCACCGCTGCTGCTTCCAGCCGGAGCTTGTTTTTGGTTCCATGGCGACTGTTGTTGGATCGGTGGCCTGTTAGAGGAGAGACCGTCGTTCGTGAGATCCGGAGCATCGTGTCCAGAAGCAAAGCCGAGCTTGGCCACCCTCGAGAAGAGTCTCCTCTCGTCGACTGGTGGAGACGAGGCCGGGACTGGTGCTGTAGAAGGGGCTGAAGAATCCAGCGGGTGAGTTTCGAGTGTGAGCATTTCTACTTGAGACTTACCGACAAACTCACTGTCGTTTGGAACTTCGTCTTCGTGAAGGGCGTTCATGATCGCGATGTAGTCTGCTGGAGATGGTGGCACCACTTTCTCTTCAAGTCTTTGCCCAGCAGATTTAAGCATCTTCTCCTGAATGCAAATTTCGCTCGACAATTCTGCCTAGGAGAAACCAATCTTGTACCTGTTTCAGGCGTCTCTGTCTGCGAACCTCTCGAGCATGTAGCTCATCCTTGAAGGGAGACAGTGACGAGCTTGGTAAGATTTTTGAGAGGTCCACCTCGCACAGCTGGTTTAAGAATCAGAATAATCTGTTGTTGTAACTTTGAAATATCCAAATTACCTGAAAGGTGCTAGTAAGTGGTAGATGACTCAAATAGCGGTATCGTTTTCTCAACAGCTCGGTTTGAATCATTGCTTCCATCTCAAGTATTTTCCCTTCAACTCTGGAACATCGTATGCAATCAGAATAGAAAAACATGCAAGAGAAATTACCTCGAAGGCAAAGACGTGTACGATCCATAGTGGTGAACCAAGCATTTCATTGTCAAAGGATGTAAAATGACGAGTTGACCATCTGCGGCCTGCAAGAGAACACGTCAGTAAAACCCCGCAATGATACAACGAACCTGATAAAAGCTGTAAGAATCAGTCTCTTCGTGTTTGGCGTCTTTGGCGTCCTTATGAGTCGCGGTCTTCACAGGTGAAGTGATGGATTCCCAGTCCTCTGGTGCGTCCTCTTGATGCAAATCTTTCGATTTTGGCTTCTTGTCTACATCAACCAACTCTCGTTCATCAGTGAACGGATTGATGTGATAAACGCTTTCTTGCTTCGGCGGCGACGGTTCCAACACTTCCTGCTTTTCATGGTGTTTTCCAGCTGAGCTAGAACTTTCGAAGTCTTCTCCAGGCAGCTTTGTGATTCCAGCCTTCACCTGAGCCATAATTCTCTGCCTTACAGATGGGCTGCTCGAGATAAACTCCAACGTCCGGTGCTCGTCCCAAGCAGCCTTTCTCGACTTAAGCTCATCGATTGCCGCAAACACAAAAGGCAGCTGTTCGATGTCTTCGTCATCGCCCGACTGAGCTCTCTCAGCCCATGCTGTGAGCTCCGAAACGGCATTGTTTGTTGTCATCTCGACGTCGCATGTCAGTGTAAACTTGGAGTACAGATGGCAACGTCCATCCTTGGTGTAAGCCGGTGATCCCCTCGACTCATTTCTTTTGAACGGTATAACAGACCCTTTATCCCGCGTCAAGAGCGTAAAGCCAACATTGTCACCTAGCCTGTGTTCCTTCACGTTGTGAATGTAGACGGTGCGCAGCTCCTTAGGAGAAGTCATGCCGAAGCAGAGCGGGCATTTCTTTACGTGAGTCTTGTGGTCCGCGTCGGAGAAGTATCGTAGAATGCATGGGAAGCAAAAGACGTGACCGCACGACGTGATCTGTGGGCACAGAGGTGGACTTTCCAAGCATATCGGACACTGGATAGCCACCGAGGACGAGAGTTCCACAAGGGCTATGTCTTCCCACTCGAGCATCTTGTCTGGGTCAGTGCTGTTCTCCAAATAGTCCCCAAAATCCGAGACCAAGAACCGAAAGTTTGCTTGCAAGAAGAGCTCTTTGTCGTAAGCCTGAACTTTCTGATGCTGCCTGCGCTGAGGAGGCCTTGGGGACGGTCGAACGATGGGATCGTAGTGAAAGTTAAGTAGATGATTCGCGTTCCATGTCTGTCCGCGTCGTGAAGATGATGGCTGGGTTGAGTGCTGAGAAGAAGTAAATTCGTGTCCCATCTTGAGAGAACTTTTTCCTGCTTGAGGGACTTTAAGAGCGGCTGAGAGTCCTCCTGTTACTTCTTGCAGCTTTTGTGACTGTTTGTGGGGCATGCCACTTTCCACCCAATTTTCCTTCACCCCACTATTTGACTCGGAGCTTGTAGCTGCGGCGTCGTGATCCTGCTCATGTCAAACGCAATCACATCAAATCCTCGCTTTATGGGAAAAAAAAACTTGAACACTTACTGAGAAGTTCCTTGGTGCTGAAGGAAATTCTTCACGACTCTAGAAAAGGGAAAAAAAAAACTCGGTGTTTGGGAAATGAGCATCACCATGCTTACCGATGTTCGCTTGGTCGGAGACCGCGAAGAAGGAGATCCCTCCTCAACTACAATGTGTAAAATCACAATCACAAGGAAATTAGAAAATTTCTACTCGTTCGAAATAAAAGGAGTGACATACCAGGGACAAACTCTCTGGCCAGTGGATTGAGCGCGCGGATTTTGGAAGTTTCGTGCTCCGGGCACGAAGCTCCCGCCGCCGCTGCTGCTGGCAATTTGGCTGTGCCATGAGATTGAGCGTCTTCGCTGAATTGTCGGTTGGAAAGTGTCGATCCGGATGCAGGCGTGGGGACACTGGACATGAAAGTGCTAGAAGCCGAGTACCTGGATTGGCGCCACACCTTCCTCCCTCCTCGCTCACGAATCGACCACTTAGGGTTTATAGGATCACTAAGAACCCTAAATTCGAGAGCCAGAAATTTTAAATTAAGAAAATCTCCCGCGTTGCTCCATAGAGTGAATCAGATTGAGGCCACCGGAGAGAGGATTGAAAATCTCTGGTGAAAGCGGCATGAGCTTGCTGGCGCACTTGTGATAGCTGAATTCCACTGCGTTGGCCCGGAGGTAGTAGCAACGCGATCGCCACACGGAGTGGAATTCATCACTTTCATCACTCTCTCAATCTCAAAGGCAACAGTTGCTGCACCCAAGAGAATACTTACCTTGTCTCGGAACGTGATTAAAGAATCTTGAAAATGAAATGAGGTCCTCCTCATCACCTATATGCCTTTTGCAACTCATCACGAACTTCATTGACTACGAGTTTTTCAGACAGGAAGGTTACAACAGTTCATGATCTTCATAGCCACATACAAACCATCTACTACACACAGGCAATAATATAATTATACACAGGCAAATAATAGAGCCTCCATAGTTGATATTCTGTCCTCCATACTAGCATGCTGCTGTGTGCGCTGTGCATTATGTTTTCTCGCTTTTACGTTGTCAAAATGAACGTCTGATGGCACTGACCCCAAAGCCTCCAGTTCGGCCTGTGCCTCATCAATAGCCTGGAAAAACAATGCATCAGGTTAGCTCTCCACACACAAGAAACACTTCCATACCTTGGAGCTTGGTTTGACAACAATATCTGGACGTCTCCATGCTTCTTCAACTTCAGGCCGGCTACGTTTTCTCGCCTTTTTTACGTTCTCCTAGCTCCCACCTGGTGTGAAGCCCGATCCACAGAGTTGATGCAAAACGTCCAGGATCTTCAGACGCGTCTCTATGTACTCTGCTATGGCGACGGCTTGTCCTCTGCAAATCACCTAGATTGGGCAGAGCTCGTATGCCACCCACGATGGAGACATTGCTAAGCCCTAATGATCACTCAGCTCGTGTAGCCCCGCGCTGGGACTGGATGGCTTCGCTGGATCCGTTGCTCCTGAGCCTGTAGACTAGGTGGTGGCCAGGAGATCGCTCCCGGGGATATTACAAGCATTTGAGTGAAGAAAGAACGACATCCCAAGTCCAATGGCCTATAGTCGGCAGTGTGGTCGGCCATGCTGCTCAGCTCAGCTCTTTCTACTCGACGACCTGTCCAACGCTGTCAACGGGATCCATTTCCACGATTGCTTTGTTAACTTTGTTAATGTAAGTTGTTTTTCCTTTTCTTTTTGCAGGCATTGATCTCTCTATTCCAAGGAAGAATTAAGTATTTTATAAAGGTAAAGTTAGCCCTAAATCTTAAACCGGTTTGAGAAGTAGTTTACACATTATAAATATCAGTTACTCTCAAGTTGCTTATTATAAATATCAGTTACTCTCAAGTTGCTCCAGATGGTGGACTTCCTGGACATTTGGATTTATAACATCCTTGTTGCTAGAGTTGGTGTTGGTAGCAGAAACTAAGATCAATGACTGCCACAACAAAGAAACATTTTTTTTGCTTCTTTAGATATTGATCTCAATAAGTTTAAAAGAGTAACCAATATTTATAACATGAAATCTATAGTTGTTGACTCAATTTTTTTGTAAATGTTACTATAACAATAGTTTTGTATTAGAGTTAATCACTAAAGCTAAGAGTTTCATTCTAAAGTGATTGATAATGCTTTATTTTTATAGGAGAATTCAATATTCACATAAAAAAAGTAAATCTCACATAGCAAAATGTAAGAATAAACCCAAAGTTAACAACTATGAAAACTCTTATATTTACTTATAACTGAATGAAAAAATGCTTTTATATAACAAATATTTTATATGTAACATTGAAGCTTATGCATTAAAAGCTAAAAGAGGTGATGGCTAATGCAATTTGTCAAAGACTTTAAATTAAAGTACGAAAGTTCATGACTATTAAAAAAAAAACTACAATGAAGGATATAGCTTATTAACAAAATTTTATAGGATATTATTACTTTTTCAATGTTTTCTAATCATGTGAAAAGAAAGAGAGAAAATTGGGGAATGTAAATATATTATTAAATATTAAAGATAAAAAATTTCAAATAAAAACAATGAACCAAAAATAGTAAACAATATATTTAACAATATACTTTTAAAATCAAAACTCTCTATATTAAAAATGTTCATTTAATAGTTATTTATAAATATGATTCAAACTATACTGTAATGATAAATTTTTACGCTCTCAAGCCACTAGCAATGATTAATCTTTAATGACAAACTACTCTATGAAATTGTAATTCATACAAAATGTTAAATTTTTCTTGGAAGATAATAACAAAAGTTTCACAAGTGAATTTAAAATTGTCATTAACAAAATAAAAAGTGTTTTTGTGATAGGTACAAAAATAGTATTAAAGGAACTTATATTTCTAAAATTTTCTTTCCTATTTATGCATTACAATATAATTTTTAAAAATGTTTGGTAAAAAAAACAATTGTAGTAAAAAACATTTTAAATAAAATTCTAATATTGAAATTGGATTGAAAAAACTAAAAGCCATTGTGGATAAAAGTTTTATAAACATGTACAATGATTAAAATAAGTGGTTAAAAGTGTTACTACTAGTAGAAAATATTAAAATTTAATTTCAATATTTATATGATACTTATTTATAAGTATAAATCTAACTATAATGTAACAATGAAATCTTATACAAGCAATTAACTATAAAAAACTATCATTTATAAAGTATTAGTGTCTTATGCAAGGTCGTGAACAAATCTGAAGAACACTCTGAAGAATAAAATATTTAAATTATTAATTTTTAAAAATATTTTTGCATGATGAAATTCTTTATTTTTCTATATATTTGGTCAAATAAAGAAATGTAGAAACCTTAATAATACTAGTAGCAAAATCTAAAATTTGATTAAATTTTTATATGATGCTTATTTATAAGCATGATTCCAATTATAGTATAACAATGAAACCTTATACAATACATTGCTGATGGAAAATTACCATTTTTAAAGTATTAATATTTTTGCAGCATTTCCTAAAATAGTATAAAAACAAATTAAAAAATAATTAAAAAATGTGAAGTTTCTTATTTAAATATTTAATTTTCTTAAGTTATTTTATTTTGTTGCAAAATAAAATTCATCTTTGTTTTCAGATATTTAGTCAAATAAAAAAATGAAACAGAAAATCCTTTTAAATAAAAGTTTAACATTGAAAATGAATTGAGAAAAAGCTATTTTTGGAGAATGGCTCTTTAAATTTATATAATGATTAAACAAAAATCTTATTATCATACCTAAAATAACTTTTAATGAAACTTTTAACTTTATAACTCAAATGATACTTATAAATAACTATGACATGAATATTTTGAATACAGAAAGATTTGATTTTAAAGATTTATTGTTAAAACTTTTGCTTAATATCTTAGATTTTTTTGTCTTTTCAAACTCAATAGTTACACTATTTAAGAACATATTGACCTTCTTCAAATTTTCTTCCCTTTTTTCTATATGATTATAAAAGCTAAAGAAATTGACAAAATCCTAATGAAATTTGTTGATACTATATGTAATTTTTTGTAAGGTTTTTTGTATAATCATAAACTTTTACCCTTAATTTGAAGCCTTCCAAAAAATGTATTAACCACCATTTATTTTAGGTTTCAATCGCATTTAAAACATTTATTATACAAAGCTATGTCCTTTTGAAAAACAAATAAAAGGTTCTATAGTTGTGATATTTTCTCACACTTTTATATTTTATTATTTGAGATTTAATTTAAACAATGCATTTTTTAAATAAAAAATAAACATTATAGAGTAATTTTTAAATGAAAATTTTTACTTTATATAGCTGCAATATTTAATACCATATTGACCTTCTCAAAGTTTATTTTTTCTATTTTCCCATGTGATTAAAAAACCTTAAGAAAGTACCAAAATGCTTATAAAGTTTGTTGATAATTTATGTATTTTCTTGTATGTTTGTTTGTGTAGTCATGAATTTTTATCTTTTGATTTAAACCCTTTTAGAACTATTTGTTTTAGCTTTAGTGTTCAGTATTACATCCAAAAAATTTATTATACAAAGATATTTTCTCCTAAAAACAAATACATGGGGTTCTATAGTTATGATATTTGTTTCCATTTTTGTATTTTGTTGTTTAAAATTTAGTGTAACAAATGTATTTTTGTATGAAAACCGAGCATTATAAAGTCTTTTTCGAATAAAGCTCTGAATTTTATTATCTAATTTTAATACAAAATCATTATTTTAAGTATTGACTATAAAAAAAGGGAGTTGTAATAGCATTACTGTGGAAATTGATATAGTTAAGCAATTTGTAAAAGATTATAATTGTTTATAGTTATATGTAAGAAAAGGTGAATGAGAGAGCAAATCATATTTAGTGTTGAGACATAATAAGTATACAAATTTATGTTCTTTCTAAGAGTTCAACTTTATGAAATTTTTTGAATAAGATTTTCTAAGTTGATGATGTTGGGAGTCTTTGGGACAATAAATGCTAACAAAACAAAATTGATATAAAAGAGGTGAAACAATTCTAGATACTATTGTCAAGTGAGGCTTCCAAGGAAGTGAGTTTATTTAGGAAAGGGCCAAATGAGAAGTTAGTTATATTTTGTCCTAACATAAAGTAGGTACACAAGCTTGTGCTTTCTCCAAATTTAAATTTAAATTGGTTTGTCCATGTTAATCTTGAGAATCTCTAAAACAATAGGGATCTCCTTGCTTTACATGTAAATGTAAGAAAATAGAAATAGAAAAAGTTATCTTAACCTTTTTAAGTAAAGGTATAAAAATTTATAACTAATAATCACTTTTAATTTTATTCTTAGAAGCTAAAATTTATTATATTTTATGATATTAGCATTGTGAGTGTATGGCACCTCACAGTATTAATATTTTATTGCCCAAAGGGTTGAAAAAAGTTGATTAATTTTTACGTATTCCATTTTGAAGAACCAGGTTGATCCTCAATCTAATGGTCACTTTTAAACTTTCTCTAACCATGGTTTAGCATTTTAATTGTGTTTACACTAGTAGGCAGAATATTCTTTTAAAATACGAATATGCTTTTAAGAAAGTGGAATAACCGAAATACTAAAACTTTTAAATTGGGAAAACCTACAAAACTTGGCTCAGTACCCGCGAGATCTCCCTCGCCCTCGACCTCTTCCGCGAAATCCACGACCGCGGCCGCCACCACCGCCGCCGTGCCTGCCTCTTCCTCTGCCGCCGCCGCCACCTCGGCCATCTCCATGGAGTGAATTCAGATTGAGGCCACCGGAGGAGTTGAAAATCTCTTGAGGGAGCGGCATGAGCTTGTCGACGCACTTGCGATAGCTGAAGTCCACGGCGGTGCCGTCGGCCCGGACGAGGTAGTAGCAGCGCGATCGCCACACGGGGTGGACGCGGATCTGGAAGGCCTTGGCTCCTCCCGGGCCCATCTTCGCCTCGGGATCGTTGTGGCCTTTGTTGAGCAAGTCGAGCAAAACCATATGCTCGTACTGGAAGGAAAGAAGAGATCACGAAGGTTAGTTCCGAGGATCGCTACTTGGGAGGATGGAAACAATCATCGCAAAGATGAAGCATTCGATCGAAGAAGAGTATGAATCCATGACGTCTCAGATTAGCATGTTGGCACATTAAACCTCGCCAATGCAGGCTGGGTACACGAGAGTACCTCAGTGCGCAGTTTCCTGCACGGCTCATCTCGTGCGCTATCATCAAAGACGCAAGCAAGCAGACGAAAAGGAAGAAACAAGAGAACAAGAGCAAGAGCTCGAAAACTTAACGAAGAGAAAACAAAGCGAAAGCATCCATCCCACAATCTTCCATTCGCAAGCTCAAATCGAAAGACAAGAGAAATGGAAAGAGGACTTACCTCATTCATGTCATAGTCGGCAGCCCAGCCGTGGAGGAGCTCGTAGAAGTACATGAACATCTCCTTCCCGGACGAGAAGGTCATGGGACCAAGCTTCACTTCCTTCTTCTCTTCCTCCTCTTTCTTCTCTTCTTCATTCGCTTCCTTCTCCTCCTCCTTCTCTTCCTCCTCTTTCTTCTCCTCCTTCCCTTCCTTTTCCTCAACGGCAATCGGCGGCGCCGCCTCCGCCGCCTTCATCTCCACATCTCCGCCGCTCTGCTTCTCTGCATCTGCTGGAGTCGCCGCCGAGATCGATGCGTCATCCAGCTTGGCCTTCTTCGCATCGTTACCGTCCTGCGCAGCGCCGTCCCTCTCGCGCTTGGCGCCCTCCTCTTCCATTGGCAAGAACCCTAATTAGGGTTTAAGGCATGACGCATTTTCCTATCCGGCCATTCCCGGCAATCCGGTGCTCGATCCGGCCAGCGACGCTCCTGCGCGCACAGATCTCAGGTATTCTCTCGCTGAATCGATTCGAGCGAGGTGCTAAGGCTGGGGATTTCCTTACAGCCGATTCAACGAGCCGGATTTCCAGCGATGAGACTTCCACAGCTCAGCTTCTTCTCGGCGGTGCTAAGGCGACAAGCATTGCCAGCGCGTGAGTTGATTTCCTTGAGAATTTCGTCTGGATTCGTGCTTGCTCGCAGCGTTTGGAAGGGAATCGTGAGGCCTGGCGACACTGTGGTGGATGCGACGTGTGGGAATGGAATCGATACGCTGCTCTTGGCTCGACTGGTGTCCCCGGGCTCTCTTCTCGGGCGAGTCTATGGATTCGACATCCAAAAGGAGGCGTTGGAGAGAACTTCTCTTCTACTCGAGCAGCATCTAACTCCCGAGCAAGTAAGCCAACCATGATTCCATCTTCATCTTTTCTTTCCTTCTCATTGGATCTTACTCTCAGAGAAACCGAGTTGAGCTCTTCCATCACTGCCACAGCAAGATGGGCGAAGTTCTAAAGGATGTTCGAGCGAGGTAGCGTGCTCTTCTCTCTTTCTCTCTGGAACACTAAAACTCAAGCTCTTGGCTCCAGGGCCTCGTCCACCACCTCAGGCTTGTAGTCTACAACCTTGGATACCTTCCACACGGGGACAAGGAGCTCATCACTCGTGCTCCAACCACGATCCAATCGCTCCACTGCTCGCTCGATTTGCTCCAGCCAGGAGGGCTCGTGAGCGTGATATGCTACGTTGGGCATCCCGGAGGCCAGTGAGTCAAGTTTTTCTTTGGTTGCAAGTTCTGACAATAGGCACACAGGGAAGAGTATGAAGCTGTGAAAGAATTCGCCTCTCTGCTGCCACCCTCCGAATGGATTTGCACACATTTAGAGCAGCTCCACAGACCGCTGGCTCCGCATCTCATTCTCCTGGCCAAGAAGGTAACTCAATCAACCTTGGAGAAAGTGGAAAATGACTGTTCTAGTTTTTCTTGACGAGCAACGTGATCGAAGAACAAGCTCAAGCTTTCAAAGATTTTGTTGGTGTCCATGCCTCCAATAAGTAGAATCCAGAAATGCTTGTCCAGCGGAAGAACTTGGTGATATTAAGCTCTCGAAGTTCTTCCGAGAACTTTGGAAGTTAGCGTGTTCTTCCCAGAACGTTGGAGGAATTCCAAGTAAAGAGTTTACCAGTAATTCCAACTTGGGAGTAACATCTTAAACGTTCGATGAGATAATAATAATGAAAAGGAAAATCATTTCTATGATTATACCTTTATTTCTCCAATTTTCTTCTTGACAAACATCCCAGAAAACCATGGACGTGCCGCCATATCCTTCGGATCTCTCTTATTATTGTAAAAATCACCATAGCTTATTCCTGGTGTCCCACCTTTTATCATATAGCTTTGGAACTTCTCACACAGAGGGAGCTGACGGGCAGCACGCAGCGATGAGCGCAGCTCCAACGCCGGATCCATCTTGAGACAGCTCAATCGAGACCTGCTGTGCCGTCTCCTCGCCCAGCATTTCCACCACCACCTTTTGGAGGTGCTCCTGGAACCGCGGATACTTCTCGTACAGACCACCGTCCACAGCCACCACAGTTCTTGGAGCTCCGCTTCTCACGCTCCCATTCTCGCCGCTAGTACTGCCGTCTCGCCCAATCTTCTTTAGAATGCCCACGATCCCAGCGCCCGCTAGCCGAGCCGCTCTCATGGCCACGGCCTCGCAAACTTCGACTACTAGCTGCCGGACTTCCAGAGAAGTGTCGTCCACCTGGAAAAACAAAAGATATCAGAATGTGACTAAGCTAAACTTGTAGTCCGGACAGCTTACCCCGATAGATTCCGAGAGTATTCTCCCAACTTCGTGCAAATCAGAGGTCTCATCGTGATGCATAGCACACATCTTCGGTGTCCTGGCAAGAACGGACGCATTAAACAAGAAGGAAGGGAAAAAAAACAAAGAATACTCGCAACTTACGTCAAGCTAAGAGGGGATAAAAGCTTGCTGGGAACCTCGTCTCCAAAAAGCTGAGCCTCAGTCGCCATTTTCAGCAGTACTCTTCTCAAGATATCTCCCAAGTACATTCCCGACACCATCTTCTCAAAAAACTGCCATGGAAATGAACACGTTTAGCAACAAGCTCACTGGAGAGGACGATAGGAACAACTTAAAAGTCCAAGCTTAGCATTAGCAGCACCTGGTCACCTGGATTTATGCTTTCAGCGTCAAGCGCCTCGTCTACATCCGCTCTTGGAAGATTGTCCGACCAAGAACTACCCCATTCGGTGTTGATTACCTGCAACGTTTAGATCTTATTAGTGCCAGGGAAAAGAAAAACTGAAGTTTTGACAAGGGGCTACCATGAACCGTGAACGACCGTGCCACTTGGGAATTGCTCCTGCATCTTCTACATAACAGGCGTTCGTCCCAGTCCCAAGGATAACCGAGATCATAACGTCTTCGTCCACAAAATGACCGCGAGCTAACGTTCCTACTGTATCGTTCACCTGTACATGATTAATGCGTCAAGGTTATGAGCACAGGAAAACGAAAGATGGGGCAAACCAGAGCCGAGACGCGCATTTCGAGTCCCTGGCGAGTAATCGCAGCCTCCAGCTCCTTAACAACATCTTTACCAACCTACATCTCCGCAACTTAGAGACATGAAACCACACTGCAGTTGCTATAAAAGCAGATGGAGATCTAACCGTGTCAGGAACCGCAAAGCCTTTAGTCCAGTTGATAAGATTTCCAGACTTGATGGAAGTTTGATGAATCGGAAAAGAAAATGTGAAGCCAAGCTGCAGCCTCGTACCCCGTGGGCAAAAGTTTTCATCCGAAGTGCAAGCGAAATCTGCCAGTTCTTTGGCGATGTAGTCAAACAATTCCTGCACAGTGATCTTTCTAAGCTTAGCTCTCCTGAGAAAGAATCACGATACCCTGTTGGTTCCTTGCATGAGTTCTGGCGGAATAGCTGCTTCTCGGCTCTCCTTTCTCATCACACCGCCTTCTTTGCCACCGAGCTGTACTCGGAGCACCCGAAAGTTCGTACCTCCCAGATCCAGAGCGTAGAAAATTCCCGTTTCATTCCTGTGAAAAGATAAAAGCGGGGAGAATCAGATCATGATCAAAGCTTTTAAAGCAGCACCTACAGCTATGCCCAGCTTAGATCTCACACAATGCCGTTGTGCGAGATCTTTCTCTGATCTAGATCGAAGCTAAGGCTTTGAAACTAGCAACTTGATGCACTAAGAACTCTAAGAACCTGACAAAGGGCGAACGTACCCGTTAGGAAGGTTGTCAACAAATGTGAGGAGCATCCTCATCTTCCCACCTCCTTCTTTCGCAAGCCCAGCTTCCATCTCCGCGATCATCTCGTCCACCAGGGACCATAGCGACTCCGCCGGGGTGCTACACACGCTCTGGAACTCCTTGAGGATGGAGAGGCTCTTGTTCCAATTCCCCCTGCCCTTGGCCTGCTTGCTTACCACAGTGGACGCCATTGTGCACACAGGCGTCCCCGACTTCCTCCTCGCGGCGCTCCATGGCAGATCGCCACTCGAGTAGTAGCCCGATCTCTTGAGAATCTTGCTGCCCTGGAGATGGAAGAAGCAGCTAGTGGCGGACGACGAAGACGAGGAGGAGGAAGAAGACGAGCGGCACGAAGATGCGATCTGCTGCGCTCTAGATCTCGCCGGTGCTGCTACTCCTGCCGAGGATTCCCCTCCGGTGGACGAGAATACTGCCTTCGCCACAAAGGCGCCATTGATCGTGCAAGCAGTCATAAGTGATGATCCCTGCCCCTCCCCCGCCCGGGATCAAGACCAATCCCTGCGCGCCCTGCCGCTACTCCTCCTGAAGTGAGACTGGATCTACCGATGCGACCGGGAAATAGGGATCAAGATCGCATTGCGATTTGCATGCAGCGGCACGGCACGGCGTGGGATCACGCCCAGATCATAGCGGCACGGCGCCCTGCGGTCGAGGAGGAAGAGAAAGAGAGATCGAGCGAGCGGCGCCTCCAATGCGGTACCTAGGGCGACAGGGCGATGGTATCGATCGAGAGAGAAAAAAGAAAGAGAGGAGAGAGAGGGAGAATGGGCTATTAACGAAAGAACTCCGTTAAGCCTGCCAATAGAGAAGAGAGCATACTCTCCAGACACAACAAACAGCAACCAGACAGAGAAGGAATGGTGGGGCGGAGAAAAAAAAGAGGCAAAAAAGAATACACGGGCCACACTATACACACACAAGGCCAACTGAAAGTCCCATTTGGCCACCCGGTAAAAAGAGCATGGTTATATCCACTCACCGTTGGTGTCGGGGATCCGACGTGCGAGATAGTGCCGCGTGGTTTTACCGCCTACATTTGCCGCCCGCCCGCTCTATAGCGGGCTTTTACTGCGGTCGGGCGGCCATTGGAATACTTGGGAATGCCTAGAGTTGTTGACGGGTTTGACGGGTAGAGATGGGTGGAATTTTTCTCCCCCCCCGTGATTTATCTCATCTTTATCTTACATGAATGAGAAAATATCTTAATGGCGTGGAGTGGATCGATCTCCCAGTTTGATAGATCGCGGCTAAGATTTCTTTTCCTTGCGAGCTTAGTATAGTATGGATGAACTTAATCAATCCTTCCCCAGATGGATCAACCTCTCTCCGAGAAGATGCTGCGAAGAAAAAATGTCCAGTTAAAAAAGTCTAGCCTCCATTTTTTATTTTTTATTTTTGCGTACGTCTTCCCGGCTAGTCGTGGACGAGAGAGTCGTATTTGCTGAACAGTGACTTCGCGATTTCGATGGAGTCACCGGCCGCCTCCAGTGGATAGTTTTTCGTGCCGTTCTGGAAAGTGTTGGTCAGCAGAATCCATGAAGATCGCCAAGAGTCGTATGGGAATGGCTCCTTGTCGTGGAGGGCCTTTACTAGGAGCTTCGTGTACAGCGACGCGCGTGGAAGATAGTAGTCCTCGAAGAGGCCACTCCACATTTTATTCGCTGCCACAGCACAGAGGAAGAGACTATCAGGCGAAAACAAATGTAAAGACGAGCACTGGAAACATACCATAATCATGGAGAGCACTCGGCAAGGTTCTCGTATTGTCAAACCACATAGTAACTTGCGTCCTGGCATTCCATTCATACTGGAAAAAGGAAGTTTAGGAATGATTTAAAACGGCGACAAGCTTACCAAATTTGTCTCGTCGGAGTTTGTTCCCAGTTTTTTGGCACTCTCCAGCCATGGACCCAAGAGAAACCCGTTGTTCGAGCGTAACAGTAGCTCCGAGTCCTTGATAATTCCGATCAGGATGTCGCAATTCTTTGTAAGTTCTTCCAGATCGCCTTTGACAAATGAAACCAGTGCTTGCAGGTGGATCTGGTTGGCAAGCTTCATCAGAACCTGTCGAGTAAGATCCACCAGATCGTACCTGAAAAGTTTTGATAAGCGAATTTTCAACAAACAAAAACAGAAAAGTAAAACAAAGAAAAACTCGAGAGACCTGTAAGTCGCGACGTTGCTGAGACTAGAAGATGCATTCAGCATGTAAGATAGAGCCACCTTTGCTTCAGTAGGACGATACCATAAGTGACCAAACGAGGTCAGCCCTTCGGTTAAAAGTCGTCGAGTCTGGGTGCCACCTTCTTCTGCCAAGTATCTCGATAATGTGGTCAGTGAAGAAGCGTTTAAATCTGGGAATTTCACAATTACATCTGTGTTGTGGTCCTGTAAGCCGTCGGAGCAATTGTATAACGTATGTGATAAAATTTGCCACGCTTCCAATGCTTCTGGGACGGCTTTACCATAGCGCCTTGTAGAATAATCGTCCACCCAATCCTACCAGCACTCCAAAGTTGGTTAGTCATGCAACGGCATCAAACTGTTAAAATTACCTTCAGAGCGTTTCTAGTTGAGCGGAATGCCATTTCAGCCATAAGTTCGTAGACGACTGGGTTTTGTTCGATGCCTTCCATGCACATTCCAACGCCAATCTAGAAACAACCCCCTTGCTAATTGCTTTCGGAAATAGAAAAACGTATCGATACCATAGTAGAGTTTGCACTAGTTTTAGCATCAACTGGACCTGAAGAGACTACATCAAGCCTCCCATACATTTCGTGATTTCCACCAAAATTATGCAACATACACCTGGAGCAGAGAAGTCGCTTATACCGCACCAAACAGAGAGAGAAATTCAGAAACTTACCAGATGTAGGGAACACCATAAAAATGAGATGACTTCGACCATATAGGCCTCACTTCTGCAAAGAGATCGAGAACTATCATTTTTCCAAATGGTACCGCGTGCAAAAGAGCCTAGCGACCAAATCAGATTGATAAGAATGCGGCCCAGTATGCACGAGAGGATACCTTCATTTGAGGAGGCTTCCAAAACTGAGCATCCGATGAGAAAAGCCAGCCCTGTAACAGGTATGATAGTACCCGAGAGCCTCAACAACATAGTACGTTACCTGCATAAGCCAGATAGCTTGCTTGTCAGCCACAATCATGGCTCCATAAACAGACGCTGCAAGTGCAGATATGTAGCTTGGATCATCGGTTGGAGGAAGATTCTCATTGAATGTGTCGCTGTTAAAGGAAACAAGAATTGAATAGAGTCAGAGACATCATTCTAACCAGTTGTAAACGTGTTGTGTAGATCCGTATTCTGCAGCAACAAGTATCACGGTCACTTGAATCCAGAAACAGCACTGATAACTAAAACCTTTTACTTGCTGTTCGATAAATGCTTTCCCAATCTGGATAAACAACGGGTCCATGGGTTGAAGAAGGTATGTACAACACCATTGCGGATTTCCATCTACAGTGTTCCTAAAACACAGAAATGAAGTAAAGAAAACCGAAGGCCTTACCAATCTGGCAAACGTGTGATATTGGCAGACGGATATAGAATTTTCAATGCTCGAGGAACATTGCCAGAAAACGCCGGTAGCACTGCACAAATTCATCGTCTGTGAAGAAACGATCAATTTTGTACAAGATTACCAGCAATCATGCCAAGGCTGCGCATATGATGTAGAATTTTCTTTTGCAAGATTAGTTGCAGTTCCAGCCACTTCTCTGGCAGAGGCCCTCCCCAACTACACAAGAATTTAGAGTTGACAGATGGTTAGCTAAACGTCGTTCTCCTTACCCGTGCAAATTTCCCATACGTGCCCACGCAAGGAAGGATGGTCCTCCAAAGTAGTCGTCAAGCTCGTGTTTTGTCATGTTAAATTTACTCTGTCAGCAACGAAAATATAAGCACACACAGAACTCCCATACACTGCCAAACCTCGAAAACTTTTTGCCATATAGTTTCCTGGCCGGTGAATGCAAGAGGTAAGTTGATTCCCTGCAAGGCCATCCAGTCTATCTCTTTCCTCCACCTTTTCCAGTTCCACCATGCATACGAATCTACACAAAAAACCATGAAGAATCGGTTAAGTTCACGTAAAACCATAGCTTTACAAGCACATACAGCTAGAGGTCACCACATTTTGGTAGTAACTCCAAGGTACTGAACGCTGGATTTTGACACCACCAGGAGGCAAGGCAGGCAGTGCTTGAGGCTCTGGAATGGTATCTAACTGAGAGCCCCCAGTTAAGTCCCAGGAAATATGAGCTCCACACCAGTTTTTTAAATACCAATACAAGCCAGCACAAAGCTCAACCCCTGACGTTCCATGGATACTATGTAAATGGGACTCAGCTAGGGGAAAAATTCGATTGATTCAGAAGCGTACCTTATTTTTCTCGAACCTTCATCCATTAAAGAGCTCAATTGGAAGCAGGATTTACCACCGCAATCTTCCTGGAATCAATCAATCAATTTGATTTACCAGCATTGACAGAAGACCCTTGTTTGCTTACCAGTGTTATGATCTGGAGCTGGAATGCCGAGACATGGCCAGGGATTAATCTCCGCAAGACGCTCGCCGCTGCTCGGAGCTGATCGCGAGCCGGAGGCATCGTCGATCGCAGCTCGCGCCATGCGTCCTCGTCGATCGGCGATGCCCTAGCGCCGGCGAGCAAGCACAGCAGCGCCGCGAGAATGCCAAGAGCCATAGCTCTCTGATAATCTGCCTGCCCTAAGCTATGATCATAATACCCGGTGGCATTTTCGAATTTGTCGTTAGTACGAATCGATCAATACTCACATTATTAGACCTAAAACCTTGCAAGAAATGAGATGATCTGGACCGTCGGCATGCCAACGGACGCGATTGTTCCAGTTTCGTACTCGGTAGATTGGGCCATGGCCAGATTTGCCGTCCGAAAAGGTCTTTCTTCTTCCCCAACCATGAACGCTGGAAAAAACTAAAACTGATAAACATCCTTTGTTGTGCCTTCGCTGGGGGAAGCCCTAAGCCGGGGGATAGCGGGAGGGGGTTTGTGGATGTTCTTTCTGGAGGCGGCAGGGCGCGCGACGCTAGGGGCGGCGGCTGGATGAAGCTGACAAGAGTAGGGATTTACATTCTTAGATGGAAGCTGGAGGCGCGGCTGCCAAGCCACAGCTAAGGTGCTATGGCCGCCGGAATCGCTCCAAATCGGCCAAAGAAGAGGTGTCCAGTCCAGGGGCCGACGATGCGAGGTCAAATGGGAAGCTCCCAGGTGATAAAAGGCTCGTCGAGGACAGTGTAGGGCAGGAGAAGGCTCCAGGTGATTCTAAGCTCGGTCTCGCGAGCGAGGAATCCAAGCTAAATGCAGGAAAGGGGGCTGTCACTCCGTCGAAATTGGAGCCGCTCCAATCGGACGCTGGGAAGACGCAGGAGCTATGCGTTGTGGCGACAGAGGCAAAGGTCTTGGATGAAACGCCTCAAAAGGATTCCGTGAGGTTTTTAAATGAGGAAGAGGAGCTCGCGTACGAGGACTCGGTTTTAAGCCGAGCTGAGGAGATTTGGACAAGGCAAGAGGTACATGCATCGGTATTTGCATGGAGTGTCCAGTGCATTGCTTACTTGCTCGATTTCTTCTTCTTTCATTCTTAGGCTCTCGAGCAAGTGAAGCGAAGAGCACCATCGAAGTGGAAAGAGCCCACGCATGCGAAGAGTCACTGGGACTACGTTCTTGAGGAGATGGTCTGGCTTTCCAAGGTATGTCATCGTCTTCTCCATAGAGCTATTAAGACGAATGTTTTGAGTGTAGGACTTTGATAAGGAGAGGAAATGGAAGGTGGCTCAAGCAAAGAGAGTTGCCATGAAAGTTGCAAAGGCGAAATCGGAAGAGGAAAGCAAAGGCATGCGTCGGCTCAAGGTTTGCTTTGCGCTCTGTGCTGCCGTTGTCTTAAGGCTGGAAACTGTAGGGTGAAGAGCAGCGTATCCGAAGAATCGCGAGCAGCATAGCGAAAGAAGTTAAGAAGTTCTGGGTGAAGATCGAAAAGCTGGTAAGATAATTTTCTAAATGCTCTCTTATGACGTATTGTCGTCCAGGTCGTCTACAAGCATCAACTTGCTGTTGAACAGAAGAAGAAGAAAGCCCTGGACAAGCATTTAAATTTCTTACTTGGGCAAACGGAAAGGTACGCTCAATCGTGCCCTTGTGCTTCTAAGTTCGCTGATTGCACATTTTATTCAGATACTCTTCTATGTTAGCAGTTAACCTGTCAGGCCTTCCTGAGAACAACGAAGACCAGAAAACTCAGGACACTGGAGATTTGCTGGACGCTGCAAATGAGCCTTCTACTGACAAAGATTTCACATGTGACCAAATGGAAGAAGAGGTTAACGCAGTTCGTTCTGACGATTATAATTTTTCTAACACAAACGGTGTAGCAGGATGACGAGGCCACTCTCGAAGCCGACGAAGCGCTGATCACCGAAGACGAGCGCAAGGAAGAACTGAATGCGCTTCAGAGGGAGAGCGAGCTGCCAATAGAGGAGCTTGTTGGTCTATATGCAAAAGGTTTCGTCATCAGCTATGTTACTGTTTTCTTGTTTTTCACCAACGGTTGTCTTTCAAAGGTGACAATAGCGAGGAAGAGAGAAGTACCTCCGACGCCGACCCAGATAAAGAATTGGTAAGATACCCATCATTTAGGCAGCCTGTAGAGGCTTGAGGGAACGCATTCTTATTGAAGTTGGAATTTCTTATGCAGGATGACGAGGAATACGATCCTCATACCGCATATGCGTCAGAGGAGGTAAATTTTGGAAGATTATTCTTCCTTAAATCACTTTCTGATTGTAGGACGACGAAAGGACTTTCGACGAAGAGGAAAAACTAGCGATGGCAGAGAACAAAGACGTTAACCTTGAGGTACGGTACTTTTTCAAGTGTTTTTTCGCTCTGACTAATGGAATGTTGCATGGTATTGAAGCTTGAGCAACTGAAGATGGAAAATGAGTTGCCCGTTTCAGAGCTTTTGTCTCGATACCGTGCGGTAAGTTCTACTTTAGAGTGCACACAGTAGCTTATATACCTTGATGCAGGAGGGTGCCGAGAGCTCAGGAGACGAGAAGGGCGGTGCTAGTGACGCGCCTTCTGATAGCTCCGATGAGGCTAAAGAGAGAATGGGCGAACCTAGTACTAGCGGTCGAAGTTCGTTATTGATCATCAAGAGTACGGGTAGATCAAAAGCTACAGGAGAAAGCAAGATTTTTTATGGCACGGAGCAGGAGGCGGAAGTGCTGGCTAATGTAGCCCGAGCTGCTCAACAAAGAGGGGAACGCATGAGAAAAAGAGCTGGTTTAGATGATAGTAGTAGAGTGGAGGGATCTGGGAAGACCGGTAGGAAGGAGCTTGACGACGCTGCTGCTGCTGCCCTGTCTGCACAGCCAACAGGATACACATTTTCTACGACAAGAGTGAGGACCAAGATTCCCTTCTTGCTGAAGCATTCTTTGCGGGAGTATCAGCACATAGGACTGGACTGGCTGGTCACCATGTACGAGAAGCGGCTGAACGGAATTCTGGCAGACGAGATGGGCCTTGGCAAGACGATCATGACAATTGCCTTGTTAGCTCACTTGGCTTGTGAGAAAGGCATTTGGGGACCTCATTTGATAGTGGTGCCGACAAGCGTGATGCTCAACTGGGAAACAGAGTTCATGAAGTGGTGTCCCGCTTTCAAGGTCCTAACGTACTTCGGCAACGCAAAAGAGCGCAAGATAAAGCGGCAAGGGTGGTCGAAGGCGAACTCCTTCCATGTCTGCATCACGACATACAGGCTGGTTATCCAGGACGCGAAGGCCTTCAAACGGAAGAAGTGGAAGTATCTCATTCTCGACGAAGCGCACCTTATAAAAAACTGGAAATCTCAACGCTGGCAGATGCTGTTGAACTTCAACTCCAAGAGAAGGATCCTTCTGACGGGAACTCCTCTCCAGAACGATTTGATGGAGCTGTGGTCCTTGATGCACTTCCTGATGCCACACGTTTTCCAGTCGCATCAAGAGTTTCGAGACTGGTTCAGCAATCCTATCAGCGGGATGGTGGAAGGCCAGGACAAAGTAAACCAGGACGTGGTGGATCGGCTGCATAATGTGCTGAGACCTTTCATCCTGAGGCGCTTGAAGCGCGACGTTGAGAAGCAGCTCCCGGGGAAGCACGAGCATGTAGTGCCATGCAGGCTCTCGAAGCGGCAACGCAATCTCTACGAGGACTTCATGGCCAGTTCTGATACACAAGCAACTCTGTCGGGCGGCAACTTCTTAGGACTCATCAACGTCCTGATGCAGTTGCGCAAGGTCTGCAATCATCCCGACTTGTTTGAGAGCAGACCAATCGTGTCTTCGTTCGACATGCCGGGCCTCCAGCTTCAGATGTGCTCGGAGCTGTGCACGGCCGTCCAACAGAAGCCTTTTTCGACAGTGAACCTCGAAGTGTTGAACTATCTCCTGTCGGAAGACATGGAGGCCTGGGAACCATCGGAGCTCGCTGAACTTGCTACGCCAACGCCTCTCATTGAAGAGATTGCCACCAGTGGTGAAGATAGCTGGAACGAACAGGAACAGGTGACTGAACCGCAGAACATTTTCGAAGAGATTCAAGCGGCTTTGGCAGCGCAGAGACTGAAGAGGAGAAGAGAAAAGGCTCGACAATTTGGGTGGCTCAATATGCTGCGATGCAGCAGGCATGTGGTATATGGTCGTGGGCTGGCGAAGCACGTCGAGGTGGAGCACCCTGTTTATGGTATTCATTCCATACAGTCAGATCCTTCTCGTTACTTGACGTTCCCTTCAGCGATAGCCGAGGTGGTGAAGCTTCCATCTTCATGGTGCGAAAGTCTCCTGGATCTGCTACAGGCTTTTGTATTCGTCATACCAGCAGCTCGGGCTCCTCCGCCGCTTATTTGGTGCAGCAGACAGTCTGCCTCCTCAATCTTGAGACATGACTTCCCGAGCAATCAACTTGCGGTGATGAGTGACTTGGTGGCACCGCTACGTCCGGTCATTGTGCGGCAGCAACTGTTTTTCCCGGATAGGAGGCTCCTCCAGTTCGATTGTGGGAAGCTCCAGCAGCTTTCAGTTCTACTGCGGCGGCTGAAATCGGAAGGTCACAGGGCGCTGATCTTCACGCAAATGACAAAGATGCTCGACATCTTGGAGAGTTTTATCAACCTCTACGGCTACAACTACATGAGGCTCGACGGCTCTACCAAACCTGAACAGCGGCAAATTCTCATGCAACGATTCAACACGAACCCGAAGATCTTCTTGTTCATCCTGTCGACGAGAAGCGGAGGCGTTGGGATCAACTTGGTTGGCGCCGATACAGTCATATTTTATGACAGTGATTGGAATCCTGCGATGGATCAACAGGCTCAGGATAGGTGTCATCGCATCGGCCAGACGCGTGAAGTTCACATATACAGGCTGGTTAGCGAGAGTACCATCGAGGAGAACATTTTGAAAAAGGCCAATCAGAAGCGTTTCCTCGACAATTTGGTCATCCAGAGTGGTGGCTACAACACTGAGTTTTTCAAGAAGCTTGATCCCATGGAACTCCTGTCCGGTGTGAACACTACAAAGCGTGCCGACCAGCCGCTTTCTAATGCCGACGTAGATGCGGCACTCAAAAGTGCCGAAGACGAGGCCGACTACATGGCTATGAAAAAGGTGGAGCTGGAAGAGGCCGCGGAGAATCAGGAGTTTGCTGAAGATGTAAGCGTGGAGGAGGACGAATGTGCCGACGACTTGGAGGATGGAAAGGTTTCCGAGACCAAAGTTCCGTCACCGGAATTTGAGACTGCTGGAACGCCGTCGTTACCAGAGCTTAAGGAACCTCAACCGCTCCTTCTGGATGCCGAGGAGGAGATGGACATGCTTGCTGATGTGAAGCAGCTTGCGGCCGCAGCAGCAGCATCAGGTCAGGGCAATAACTTTGAAGACCAACTCAAGCCAATCGAGAGATACGCGATTCAGTTTTTGGACCTCTGGAATCCAATCATCGATACCAGCGCTTTGGAAACACAAGTAACCTACGAGGAAAAGGAGTGGGAATTGGAACAAATAGAGAAACTCAAGGAAGAACAGGAGGCGGATATTGACGAGGATGATGAACCACTTCTTTACGAGAGTACGTATTTGCATCGTCCAAAGTTATAAGCCGTGTTAACTTTGTTCTGGCAGGTTGGGATACTTCTAATGCCGATGCAGCTTATAGGCAGCAAGTAGAAGTCTTGACGCAGCAACAGGTTTCGTTTTTATTTTTTCATTTCCGTATGTTTATTTAACAAGGTATACAGGAACTCTTACAAGCACAATGGGACGCGATGCACGACGAGGAGCTCCAAGAGGCTGACAGGTAATTCTACATTCTTTGATATCTGAATCTAGTCTTTACTTTTCTTTCAGGCTGATTGAGGGCGAGAAGCAGCAGAAGAGACCAAAGAAGAAGAAACTGAAATCTCTAGAAAGAAGCAGTGTAGAGGAGTACAATTTTTGTTCCGAGGAAGACGCGGGAGCAGATGATCACATTGATGCCGACGAAGCTGATGAGGTACTCTCCATTGCGTCCGACGAGGGAGAGTACGACATGCAGTGGGATAACTCTCTACGCACGCCTTTTCAACGAAAGCGCAAGTTTTCGAGGTTTTTTGAAGAGGAGGGCGGCGAGAACAAAAGGTTTAGGAAGGAGGATAGCAGGACAGAGTACTTCAGGCCTAGGTTTGGTGGCAAGCTAACTATTTGCACGACCGCAAGGAAGAGCCCAGTCATCTTGCTGGAAAGAGACCGAAGAAAGGAAGCACTCAAGGCCAAGGATCATCACACAGACTGGATGCCCGAGGAGGACGAGGTCCTGTGCGCTGTAGTGCACGAGTATGGTGGAAATTGGCTTCTGGCTAGCGATGCCTTAGAAGGAATGCCAGACGGCGGAGTGTATAGAGGTCGGCACAGGCACCCTGTTAAGTGTAAAGATAGATTTAGGCAGCTCGTAGTCGAGAACGCTGGTACCATTTGCGGGGGGGTGAGCAGCGAGAGATTACTATCTGGGGCTGTTATCAAGGTGACAGAGGTATGTGTTACGCTTTCGTTTCATTCTGCAGCTGAAAAATTGGTCTTGTTTTGCTTTGGTTGATGCAGGAAGACACAAAGCGCTTGTTAGAGCTAGTACAGCGAGTTCCTGACAAGGAGGTGTTGCTACAGAGACACTTCGCTACAGTCCAGAGTGTGAAAGACTCTTACAAGGGGTCCGCAAAGTCGAGGAACGGTTTCGTGAGTAACGTTGGACATCCCCGAAACCTTCCGTTCGTCTCCCTGGCAAATCTCTGTCAAGGTTGCTTGAAGCCACCGTTGCGGCAGGCTTCTCACAAGCAGGGGCACGCGCTGGTAGCGGAGGCTCTATCTCAGACGACTGCCAGTGACAATGGAAAGATGCCTGAGAATTCTGCTTGCAAGGCCGTGAAGAACAATACTGCCAGCGACAACAACGACAATGGAGACGTCGAGAGCCAACCTCCGCTGGAATTGTCTCTCAGTTTTTCCGACCCAGAAGAGATGGAGGACTTCCGGCCTGTGAACGTAACGCTCAGACCAGGGGAACCAAAGACCGCCGAACCACCGTCCAGCTCGAGTATCCGGTCGCTCGTCTGTGAAACCCGCTTCAGGTACCTACACAAGAATTGTGAGCTCTAAAATTCTAACTTTACTCATGCACAGGCTAGCATCACAGATGACACCTTCAATTTGGGCAGCAGCAGCGATCTCTGTAGTTCCCAAGCCAACGCCGAGCCAAAACAACCCTCCAGTGAAACGCCAGCAACCTCCGACCGATGTCGCCAAGCTCCAGAGGCCGGGCAAGCAGCCCCGGCTGCAGCCAGTCTCCAAGCCGAACGGGATGATCGAGATAAGACCAGTGGAGATGAAGACGAGTGTGTCTCCCAGCCAGATAAAGCCAGCCAACCTGAAGAAACCACCACCGACGGCAGTGTTTACAACCACTGGAGCTTCCAGAGTTCATCACGTAGCAACGAAGCCGTCAAGCTCATCGAGTATCCAGCTCGCGAGGCCGTCGAGCAGTGCCAAATCCACAGCGGTGGCAGCAGCAGCAGCAGGATCAACCGCAGCAGCAGCAGCAGCAGGAGGAGCGAATTATCCATTTGCTCAGTACTGGCGGCCGGACTCCACCGTTTCCAGCTCCAGGCTAGCTCAAGCCCCGGCATCCGAGGAGGCGAGCTATCATCGCAAGCCAGCGGCGGCGGCCAAGAACAAAGGTGTGAGCGAGTGAGAGAGGTGATTTTTTATTATGATTATTTCAGGAGTCTTTCTGGTATCGTCAGCTCAAATTCGTGAAGATCGTGATCACGCTGCTGCTTCTCGCTGGGCCCAGAAATTTTGATCGATCAAACAACACCGAAAGAAGAGAAAGAGAAAAAGACTCGGTAGTAATGAAAGAGACGAGAGATTTATCTTGTTCTTCGTGTACAAGAATGGTAGGTGCTTTAACCCGCGGTAAAATAACATTTCTGGTTATCCCGTTTAAAACCCAGGCATTTTCGGTCTAGGCAAATATTGTGTGCATTCAGGAGGGGCAAAGTTTGCGCGTGTCAAAGCCAGCGATCTCCTCGTTGCGCCACAATTCCCTCTTCGATTCATCCGGTAAGACATCGCATCACGGCGTTGTCAGCGCTGAATTCCTCGCGGTCTCAACCCTTGGCGCTCTACATTTGATTCTCCTCTCTTTCTCGTAGCGCGAGGCGGCAAGCATGAGCCCTACCTTGACGGCGCCGATCCCGGAATTGCTCGATCCCAAGGCCGATGGAGCGGCCGGCGATGGAGCGATCCAAGTCCAGGAGCAATCGGCGGGGTCCGGGGAGCACGCCAAGAGCGCATCGAAGAAGATTGTGGCGGAGAGCTGCCTGTCCATCATAATTTTGGGGGCTTCTGGGGATCTCGCGAAGAAGAAGACGTTCCCAGCGCTCTTCCATCTCTATTGCCAGGTATGTGAGGATTCGAAGCAAATATGAGGGGATTTTCGATTCATTGACAATGCCGCAGGGGTTTTTACCATCGCACCAAGTTAAACTGTTTGGCTATGCCAGATCGAAGCTCATCGAAGAAGACTTCCATCGCCGAATTGGAGGGTAAGGATATTATTGTTCTTTCTTAGCTTTCGTATTGTTCTTCATAAAGCTTTCTTCGCGCTTGTGTAGACATTTGGCGGACTCTGGAAAGTATCCTGCTGATCTTGTAACCAAGTTTCTCGAGCTGGTATGTTTCTCCTTTTCTCGTTTATGTATTGTGACACTTCGATCATTCAATCACTTTAGAGCACGTATATCTCTGGCGCTTACGACGACGACGACAGCTTCAGAAAACTTGACAAGATTATTTCCGATTATGAAGCCGGGAAGGATGAGCCGCCTCGCCGACTTTTCTATCTTGCGCTGCCTCCATCGGTCTATCCCCTCGTGGCGGGCATGATACACAAAAACTGCATGAACAAAAGTACGTGATCACATGATTTTCGGCTTTATATATGATCTGATTTCAGGGGGCTGGACTAGAATTGTCATCGAGAAGCCTTTTGGCAAGGATCTAAAGAGCTCTGAAGAGTTGAGTGATCAGCTTGGGAGTTTGTTCTCGGAGGAGCAGCTGTACCGGATTGACCATTATCTGGGAAAGGAGATCGTCCAAAATTTGGTAGGGTTGCAGTCGTTGTCATTCGCATTGATAAGCTCGTGTTCTCCAGCTTGTGATGCGGTTTGCAAATCGCTTTTTTGTTCCACTTTGGAATCGTGATAATGTTGCAAACGTCCAGGTATGGGTGACAATGACAAATCATCGCTAGTGTTCTAAATAGCATACATGCAGATTGTGTTCAAGGAGAATTTTGGAACTGATGGTCGCGGTGGCTACTTTGACGAATATGGGTAAGTAAAAGCTGGAGAGTTTTTCGCTCCAAATGGAGTTAACTTCTCATTTTCTTCGTAGCATCATTCGGGATATCATTCAAAATCATCTTATGCAGGTATACATGCGTATCCCTTTCGGGCACTTAAATGCACATGCTTTGGCAGGTTCTTTGTCTGGTTGCAATGGAAAAACCATTATCCTTGAGCCCTGAACATGTTCGCGACGAGAAAGTGAAGGTACTGTATCACATTTCCGCACAGAATAAATCTCAAAGCTCACAGGTTCTGCAAGCCATTCAACCAATACAAGACAGCGAGGTTGTTATTGGACAATACGAAGGCTATAGAGACGATCCCACGGTTTCCGATGAGTCATTGACACCCACATTCGCCTCGGTGGTGCTGCGAATCCACAATGAGCGTTGGGATGGTATGGCAGTTTACTCGCAATCTTCTGTCGGTACTAACTCTTTTCTTGTGAAAAGGTGTTCCTTTCATCCTAAAAGCTGGAAAAGCCTTGGATACTCGTAAGGCAGAGATTCGTGTCCAATTCAAAGACGTCCCGGGGGATATTTTCAAATGTAAGCTCTGATCCCTGACACTGTTTTTATTCACTCAAAGACGATACTTCGTTTAAATATACAGGCAAAAAACAGGGACGAAACGAGTTTGTCATGCGATTGCAACCTTCAGAAGCCATGTATATGAAGCTGACGGTAAGTTTCAACCTTTTTAGCTCCTCCACCTTTAGCTTAATCTGCCAAAATTTCGATCACAGGTGAAGCAGCCAGGTCTGGAGATGTCCGCAACGCAAAGTGAGCTAGACCTCTCTTACCGCCAACGCTACCAGGACGTGGTTATTCCCGAAGCCTATGAGCGCTTGATTTTGGACACGTAAGAAGAACTTTCAGAGTCTTCGCTTTTCCGCTCATGTATTTATTTATAACCTCCAGGATCCGCGGAGATCAGCAACACTTTGTTCGGAGGGACGAACTACAGGTAAGCGTAACTATCCCCGTACAGAATTACTTCCTAACTCGTTCAAACGGACAGCTTTCGTGGGAGGTATTCACGCCATTGCTGGAGAGAATAGAAGCTGGAAAAATCCCGGTAATTCCGTACAAGCAGGGAAGCAGGGGACCGCCCGAGGCCGACAAGCTCGCGGAAGAGCAAGGCTACGTGAGAACTCATGGCTACATTTGGATTCCACCGTCACTCAAGGATTAAGACCTTTCCATCGATAAAAGTAAACTATTGCTCGATCAAAACCAAGTTCTTCCTTGAAGCTACGCTCGTGAGAATGACTGATCGTTCGCGTGAGAATGACTGATCTTCTCCTTGTTAGCTTCAGGTCCTCGAATAAACTAAAAAATTTGAAAATCAAAAGCTTTTCATGGCCTACCACGAGTTTTTTCAAACCAGCTACGTACAAACTTGGGAGCTTGTAGGCGAGAAGACAACAGTAAAATTTAAAAAGCTTCTTCGCGGACAGGTCCACAACACGGCATTGGATTTTCGGGCTTCAAATTCGCGCGCACACGCTGGATCGATGGTAGGATAGTTGGGAATGGGTAGCTCGCAGAGTGTTTCCGCAGGGAGTAGCGGCAGCTCGTCATACCAATCGGGAGTCCCCCTGCCAAATCATGAGTATAGTCATCCGACACAGGATTACGATTTCGATCATGAGTACAGTCATCCGACTCAGGATTCCGATTTCAATCACGAGGATAGTCATCTGACTCAGGATTACGACCTCGCATTCGATCTGCAGTTGGCTGAAGTAATGGAAGCCTCCCGAGCCGAAGAAGTGTTTGCTGCCTGGGAGATCCAAAACCGAGAGGAGCTGATCGATGCGGTGCTGCTGGCCAAAGTCCTGGAGCGACAACAAGAAGAAGAACAAAGGATGCGCAGAGAAACTTGTCGAATTTGCACCGAAGACAGGCTTTCGCTGCAGGAGATGATGACCGTGCAACCCTGCGAGCACAGGTTCTGCATCCAGTGCATGAGGCACAACGCGGAGGTGAGGGTGAAAGAAGGAGCTGTGGAGGTGCGATGCCCGTCAGAGCATTGTCTCGCGGTTCTGGACTATGAAGTTTGCACCGAGCTGCTGTCCAAGGAGAGCATCCAGCTGCTGGAGAAGAACAGGGTGGAGCAGAGCATTCCCGCGGAGTTCAAGATCTACTGCCCCTACAAGGAGTGCTCCGAAGTCATGGACAAGCGCCTGCTCGACGCCGTGCCATCCTCTTCAAGTTCTTCGAGTTCTCCAAAAAGTTGTTCCAAGAGCTCTAACAAGAGTCCTCGGAGAGGCTCCCAGAGTTCTTGGAGAGCTTCTTCGCCCTCTTCGCCTTCTTCGTCTCTTCCAGCTTGGACCTCGTCTGCTCCTATTCCTTCGTCATCAGATTCCCTTCCTTCATCCTCGGCGACTTCGACGACTCAATCCAACGCTCGTGCGTCGTTCATGGTCAAATGCCTCGCGTGCGGCAATGGCTTCTGCCTCAAGTGCAAGGTGCCATGGCACTTTGGCATGTCCTGCCGCGAGTTTGAGAAGGTCCCGGCCGTGCTGCGCGACTTTGACGGGGTGAAGCTCTACAAGCTGGCGTCGAGGAACAAGTGGAAGCAGTGCGGCCAGTGCGGCAGCATGATCGAGCTGACGCGGGGCTGCAACCACGTTGTTTGCCGGTAAGCCATTGTTTGATCATTCCCTTGACCTTTTTCTCTGGGGTTTTCAGGTGTAAGTACGAGTTTTGCTACCTTTGCAACAGAAAGTGGACGTCGGACCATGCGGCTGCCTCCAAATGCCCGTTTTGGGATGAAAAGAAGCTCTTGGACCCGAAGAAAAACATGTAAATTATAACAAACTACTAATATTTGAAGTGATTAAACATTAAAACGTATACTATACCACTTGATATTGTTCACAATCATATGGTAAACTTTTATTAAAGCAAAAGAATTTAATTGTGCATGGTTATTAAAATAAATCTTGTCCGTTAAAAAACCCAATTGAAATCTGGACCACAGAAAAAGTGCTGAATGAAGCAGCCACATTAGGGTGGACACTTGGCACCCTGTCGGGCGACTAGGTTTGGCCATGTCAAAAAGGGCGAAAATGGGAGCACCAAGAAACTTTAGGTCGCAATGCATGCTGTCCAGCCGCGCCACAGCTGCGGCTGCGGCCACACTGCCATCGCCACGCAGGGATCGTCCGCCATCGGGCAGAGATCGCGGGTGAGGTACGAATTTCGCAAGAAGGTCTATGGCGTCGTCCGGCTCCGGCATTGCATCGCCCGGGCCTCAAGCACAGCCAGTGGCAGCAGCAGCGGCAGCGAGGAAGATCATCCATTGCCAGCTCCAGACGGGGAGGCTAAGAGGAAGAAAGAGGGCAGCGATCTCACGCTGGTCGTGTCGGTGGGCGAGAATTTGAGGCCCGGGCACGTCTATGTCCGCCATGGAGGGGCCGTGGCGCCGCTCACAGTGGGAGAGATCCGCAAGGCGGCATTGGCAGACAAGCAAAGCTTTTCTAAGCGAGAGAGCCCTTTGGAACACGAGGCTTGGGAGCTTCTCAGGTCTGCCATGGTTTACTACTGTGGGACTCCAGTCGGGACGATCGCTGCCAATGATCCCACCGATGGCCACCCTTTGAACTACGACCAAGTTTTTATCAGGGACTTTATCCCGTCCGCCATAGCTTTCCTGCTCAAGGGCGAGACAGACATTGTCCGGAATTTTCTTCTACACACGCTCCAGCTCCAGGTATGTTGTTCTGAGAAATGAACTTATGGAGCTCCATTTTTTCTGTTTGTATCAGAGCTGGGAGAAGACCGTGGATTGCTACAATCCCGGCCAGGGACTGATGCCCGCCAGCTTTAAAGTGAGAACTGTTCCTCTCGAGGGTGATCCAGCAAATGGCACGGAGGAGGTTTTGGATCCAGATTTTGGTGAAGCTGCCATTGGCCGAGTTGCTCCTGTCGATTCCGGTGAGAACAGAAGAAAGCTTTGCGTGCAACCATGTGGTTTAACTTCCATTTGGTTCTCTAAACAGGATTGTGGTGGATTATTCTTTTGAGAGCTTATGGCAAAAGCACCGGGGATTACACGTTGCAAGAGAGGGTCGACGTCCAAACCGGCATGAAAATGATCCTGAAGCTTTGCCTTGCTGATGGCTTCGACATGTTTCCGACTTTGCTCGTGACTGATGGTTCGTGCATGATCGACAGAAGGATGGGAATTCATGGCCATCCCCTCGAAATACAGGTATGCCATCCTTCTTGAAAGCTTTCACTTTCCTGACTAGTTTTTCTATCTTTTGAGGCTCTGTTTTACTCTGCACTAAGGTGTGCTCGGGAAATGCTGATCTCGGAAGACAGCGCGCTTGATCTCATCAGGACCCTCACTTCTCGACTCAGTGCCCTGTCCTTTCACATCAGAGAGTATTACTGGGTGGACATGGGAAAGCTCAACGAGATTTACCGCTACAAAACCGAGGAGTATTCTCACGAGGCAGTCAACAAGTTTAACATCTATCCGGACCACCTCTCGCCATGGCTGGTGGACTGGATTCCCAACAAAGGCGGGTACCTGGTTGGAAATCTTCAACCAGCTCATATGGACTTTCGGTTCTTCTCTCTTGGCAACCTGTGGGCGATTGTGAGCTCTTTAGCCACGCCAGAACAGGCAGAAGGCATACTCGATCTCATCGAAGCTCGCTGGGTGGACTTCGTCGGCAACATGCCTATGAAGATATGCTATCCGGCTTTGCAGGGAGAGGAGTGGCGTATCATCACCGGAAGTGATCCCAAAAACACGTAAGCTCGTTCTTTTCTTTTGGCATGTTTTACCTTGACATTTTGGACTTGGAGACAGACCGTGGTCGTATCACAACGGAGGTTCCTGGCCGACTCTCTTGTGGCAGGCAAGCTATCAAGCTCTTCGCGAGTAGATTCTGGCTAATGGTTTTTTCTATGTTGCTTATAGCTTACTGTGGCTTGCATCAAGATGGGGCGCCCGGAGATGGCTGAGCGTGCCATTGAAGTTGCGGAGAAACGGATCTCCAGAGACAGATGGCCAGAGTATTATGACACAAGAGCAGCAAGGTTCGTAGGGAAGCAGGCTCGACTCTACCAGACTTGGTCCATTGCGGGCTATCTTGTTGCCAAGATGCTTTTGGATAAGCCGGATGCTGTGAAAATCTTGACGTGTGAGGAGGACTTGGCGTTGCTGGAGGCCATGTCGTGCTCTTTGGATGCCAATCCTCGCATTAAGAGAAAACGCAAGCTGAAGTCTACCAGAATTATAGTGTAAATTCAATATATTTTTACTTTTTATATCTTTTTGACAAAGAATGTTAATCTAATATGCTAATAGAAGAAATAAAGTAAATATATTATAAAATGTAAATATAGCAATTGTATTTAAGAATGGAAAATTATAAGATTTTACATTATCTCATTATGTCAAACATGTACATTTTACAAATTAATAAGATATTTTAATTAATTAATTAAAGTAAATTTTATTTAAAAAGTTATGTTATGATGCATTCAAAACATTATAAAATGAGTAGTGTAGTGAATTATATATTGATATATCTAATTTAGTTTATCGTTTCTACTTGTTTTATTATTTTAATATATATATATAGTTTCATTTTATATAGATAAAAGTTATTTTAACCTTCAAAAAACAAAAATGTCAATTTATGAGAATATCTATATCCCATTTATCAAAATATATAAAATAATTTAATATATAAATTTATGAGTATAGACATTGTAACTTTGCTATTTAAATTACCACATCACTTAAATTTGATTATGTGAATAATATAATGTGCATGTTTAATGCACATTAACAAAAAACCATATAAATAATTAAACAGTTTATCTTGAATGACTCAAATTTGTTAAATTTATATGTATAGATAAGTTATATCAAATTATTTAGTAGACTCCCATGTAAGCAAATGATGTAATTTTAACACCATCACAACAACTTTATTAGAATATCATTGAAAAAATAAATAAGAAATATTAAACATTAATTAAATAGTGGCTTTTTATGAAACACAACAACACTTTATACATATAGAGTAAGTTTTTGAAGTTATGTTATATATAATCCCAACTATAATATTTAATAACTATTAAATCCGCAAATGAGTATCATTTGTAAACAATTCTAAAAATAACATTAAAAAAAGATAAAAATTAGATTTATCAAACATTTAAATTGAATAAATGTTGTATACGCATTTGATCTTTAGCAAATTGTACTAAGCTTTTGGTCAACTCATGTTTAAACCATAAGAAAAATATTCACTATAAATTAAAAAAATATCATGTTGATGATAAAAAATTGCTTTATATTAGAACCTTACATATAAAAAATATTGCACAATCT